TGTCAATGTGTGTTTTGTAATGTAGTTTATCGTCTATATTAATTCCCAAGTACTTGACAAATTTCTTATGTGGAATGTTTTGTGCGATATTATTTTTTGGAGGACCTTTTATTTTGAAAGTTTTATAGTTTCTTCTTACATTGCTATTGGCATAAATTAGGTTAGATCTAAACAATATTGTTTCGCATTTGCGCATCGATATGGTAAGTTACAATTTATCGCTGTATGGCCAATGCGCTGGCATTTTTTACATTGAATTGTCTCTTTACGTATCATTTTTTTCCAACTTATTACTTGATAGAACAAATAATTAATTCTTTTCAAGTTATCCACTTCGCTATTGGCTGATAGTTGTACGATAAGAATGGGTAAAATTTTATTATTTTGTTTATATCTACTAGTTGAAAATCTTATTACTTTTGTAAATTCGATATTTGTTATGTTTTGAGATTTTAGTTCCTCAAGGACTTCATTTTCGCTATAAGCGCTATCTAAACCATTCAAAAGATAAATTATTGGTTTCGCATCTTTTAACGTATATGTGTAAAATTTGGTGTTACATTTTAATAATAGTTCTTTAGCTTGCTTGAAATTTGTAAAGTTATTTAACTGCAGTACGTGCTTACCTCTATTTATTCTTTTTATGTAGAACTCACTTATGTTATTTTTTAATAATTTAACTGTGTCCTTTGGATCTTGGTACAGCATATTAATTGGTAATGGTTTGTCCTTCCTTCTTGTTTTTTGTTGGCTGTTTGGTGGCTCCCTTTTTTGTTGGGTTGTCTGCTGCGGTGTCTGTGCTTCTGCTTGCTTCACCTTGGTCATTATTTCATGTTGGCTATTCTTTGAGCATAGGTATGTCAGGAAATTCGATGTCTGCTCCTCATTGTCTAACTCCGATGTTTGTTCTTCTATATCTTCGTCCATTGACGGATCCGGTAAGGAAGCATCAGGTAATGCTTCAAATCTGTTTTGCGTGGTTGCGCTGATTATATTTTCATATTTATTTTTGTATTCTTCTATTTGTTGTTGAAGCTTTTGAATTAGTTCCTTGAGCTGTATGTTCTCTGTTTTCAATTCTTCCGAATGTGATGATGCATCCGCTCTTTCTCCTTGTAACGTCACTTTTTGAAAAATGGGTTCACCATTATCTGTCCTTTTCTTTTTGTTTCTTGCCATATTTAAATTAGGCTTTTGTGCATTAGTTTTTCTCTTCTGTATTACCTTGTGTATCGTCCTGTGTAAGTCCTTGTCATTTAACTTGTGTCGTTTTGAATTATGTACAATTGAGTTTAGCTCTTGATTATTGTCGGTATTTTCTTTTTCCGTACTCCAGTGCGTCGTGGCCGAAGTACTTGGAATATTAGTCATCCCCCTGTTGGGGGAGACAAAAATTGAATCTTTGTTTATAACTTCTTTCTCAATTATAGATCAGTTGTAAACTGGCTAGCAATGTTGACTCGACGAAAGCTCGACGAGCACTGACGAGAACTGGTACATTCAGCGTGGTATGGACGTTGGCTTGCTGAGTAAGTTCTTTACAAAGGTTTTAAGGTATTATCATATGTACTTATTTACATTAATTTCTCTAATTAATATAATTAGTTTATTTAATTTGCATTAGACGCTTGATAAAATGTATGATTGTTTGTAAATTTAGCGCATTTTTGTAAAATACGCACGTTATCTTATGCAAGTTTATGTGGATAAACCTTTGTATTCATGTAAATGGCTTTTCAGCTTAATGGAAATGCCTCTTTATTCCTGATAGCGGTATTCAATATGGCGTAAAACATAATGCGTGCGTCTACTATCAAACTACAGCAATGTGGTTTGCACTTTCGGGATCTATTTCGATTTTTTCGCAATTGTACACGTTATTTAACCTATGTGGACGAACATGGGTGTGTTTTTAGCTAGGAAAACTCGTCGTTTATGAATATTGAATGATTAAAACGGATAACGCGAGTGAAACTACCGGCTAATATAACCTGGTGAAGTGAACCTTGTCGAAATTTTTATGCAAGTTTATAAAGGCAGTAGGATAATATTTAAAAATAAATGAATTTTTAATAACACCGATATATGACGGAAGAAATATATTAAATCGAAAGCACTGTGTATAATGATTGTCTTTTTGTGTTTTTTAATACCGCATCAGAACTCTAACCTAATTAAAAATATCGTACATGTTGAAATGACTTTTGTCTCATTTATTAAACGCAATAAATGAATACTTCTGAAGAATCACTGAACGATCAGGATCCTGATTACGTCTCCATAACCTCCAATGACCAAACCAAACAAAAAATTTACGAAAAAAATGGTAAGCATATTGATGTCACTACAATATTTAATAATAATTTTTATTTGTGTTTGTGTTTTAAAATTATGCAAATTTGTTGAAATATAATGATTTATTAATAAAATTTACGATTTTTGGATGATAAATAATAATGATAAATTTTGTATCTTAATTATATATATATATGTTACAAATTATCACATTTTATATCTAAATAATATATTTTTATTTTATTAGCAAGAAATACTACAGCAAGAAAAATAACGACAATAATGGAGAAGGAGTTTTTAGAAGAAATTGATTCAAAGGAGAAGGAAATTTTGCAGATACAGGAAAGATTACAAAAAACTCTAAAAATTTTTCATTTTTTGCACTATGTCGTGATTACCAATTTTTATAATTGCAAACAGTGCCAAAATCTGCAACCAACAGAGACAACAAAACAAACAAGAATTCATCCTGCTATTAAATCAATACTTGGAAAATATCCCAAATCTGCTCAATGGACAGATGCTGCAGTGCCATCGACATCTACAGATCCTCAATTTTTATACAATGACGAATCTTTTGCGCCAGCTTCAAGAGTTGCAACAAATAATGCATCTAAAAGTGAACAAATTGCAGACAAACTTGATATCGCATCCCAAAATACGAAGCAAAAACTTCTTAGTGAAGAATATCGACCTTGTAAAGTGCCTCGTTACGTGCCGCCGAAGAGTAGCACGCCGGAGAGAACGTTGCCATCGTGCAGCAACAGTCATAAAGTGCGTAAACGCATTGTTATCGGTAACATCTCCAAGTGGATTTCGCCGGATTGGCGCGAAGACGCCTGCAGTCACAAATGGACGATGTACGTGCGCAGCGACAAGGACGAAAGCGCTGACATTTGTAACTTTCTCTGTAAGGTGAGATTTTTTCTGCATTCCAGTTACCGTCCGAACGATGTCGTTGAAGTAACATCGTATTCGTTTCATCTATCCAGGAGAGGATGTGGTTAGTTTCCCCTTAGGGTAAAGTTACATTTCAAGAATCCTCGGAATGAACCCATGGATATAATTCACCATCTGAAGCTGGATCGTACTTATACAGGACTGCAAACGTTGGGCTCGGAGACTCTGGTCGATGTGTGGATCCACACAACGGAGTCACGTATTTTCGAGCAGACCAGCAGTGGCGAATCTATTGAGTCTTCCCCTAATAACTCAGTCAAGGTAGAACCGAGCAATGGTAATAGTGCCGAGATTATCTGTAAGCAACTGGTGAAATCTACAAGAAAGTCGCATCTTTCTGTGAGCGCTATTGAGGAAATTCGGGTGAAAAGAGAAATAATTGATTCAGAAGTTCAAGAACGAACGAATTCATTGGATTCAACTTCAATTGAGAAATGAGAAGACTTCAGAGTAAAGGCTGAATTTGATGATGCAACTGTGGACATATTTAGCGATTAGAATGGACTGTGAAATGGGCTGGAGAGACGTGTTATTGCATCACGCATGATCGCGATTATTTTAAAAAACGCTACTTTGACTCTCGCCATTCCACTGTAAAAGAAGGTAACATAACCACACTTTTTTGACAATGAAGTGGACAATACGTCGCAGATATTGAACGGTGATATTCAGTCTTCCAACAGCTGTCAGTCTCTGACAGTTTCAAATTCAGTGACAGATAATTTACAGGTTGCAGTGAATACTATATTGCAAGCAAACGACAATCAGAAGAGTTTGAAAGAGTCAACTTTGTTTAATACAAACAAATCTGTACAAGCAACAAATTTGGAGAGAAGCGATATCTTTGAAATTTAAAAAATAATCCATTTAAAAACACATTGATTAACGGCTTCTACAAATCGTCTAATAAAAAATTAGTTACAGTAATACTTATAGTTAATAAAATTATACTTATATAATATGACGAGTCTGAATCTAAGGATATGTACATGTTAATTGGTCGTTAGTCACCAGTAGTTTTTATTTGTGTATTTTTTTTTTAATTTTTCGGTAATTGGTAATGAATAACTATATCGCCAAGGTATATTATTATCGTGTTGATGAATGTGGGGGGTACCCCAACTTTTTATTGTTATTTCGTCGCGGATAATGGTATATCAATGGTACGCCGTTATTATCTTGTATATAACCATTATAATCGAGATACGGAAATGCCTCAGGCGGGATGAAGCCGGTGCATAAAGTTTTTTCGTAATACATCGGATTAGGATATAACGCACAGTGTATTAGACTATTTTCAGTAATTTTGCTCATCTGACAAAAAATGTTCGCGAATTAGTTTAATAATAAAATTGTCTATTCTAGGTATGCCTGCCTCGTTATATATTTTTACGTTGTTTATGTATTTTGTGTAATCTGATTTTGACGATCTGTTCATGTTAAGACAAGCTCTCAGGCATTTTCTTTCAAAAATTCTTAATTTTTTCCATGAGCGACGCACTAACGTTATATCATATGGGACATCCATATGTTATCAGGGGTCTTATTAATAGTTGGTAACAAATTATTTTGATTTTTGTGTGCAATATTTTTGAATAAAAAAGTCTACGCAAGTGTCCAAATGTCTTACTAACCTTGAGGATCTGTGTGTCAATGTGTGTTTTGTAATGTAGTCTATCGTCTATATTAATTCCCAAGTACTTGACAAATTTCTTATGTGGAATGTTTTGTGCGATATTATTTTTTGGAGGACCTTTTATTTTGAAAGTTTTATAGTTTCTTCTTACATTGCTATTGGCATAAATTAGGTTAGATCTAAACAATATTGTTTCGCATTTGCGCATCGATATGGTAAGTTACAATTTATCGCTGTATGGCCAATGCGCTGGCATTTTTTACATTGAATTGATTCTTTACGCATCATCTTTTCCCAACTTATCACTTGATGGAACAAATAATTAATTCTTTTCAAGTTACCCACTTCGCTATTGGCTGATAATTGTACGATAAAAATTGGTCAAACTCTGTTATTTTGTCTAGATCTACTAGTTGAGAATCTGATTACTTTCGTAAATTCGACATTTTTTTTGAGATTTGTTTTGAGATTTTAGTTCCTCAAGGACTTCGTTTTCGCTATAAGCGCTATCTAAACATTTCAACAGATAAATTATTGGTTTCGCATCTTTTAATGTATATGTGTAAAATTTGGTGTTACATTTTAATAGAAGTTCTTTAGCTTGTTTGAAAGTTGTAAAATTATCTAACTGCAGTACGTGCTTACCTCTATTTATTCTTTTTATGTAGAACTCACTTATGTTATTTTTTAATAATTTAACTGTGTCTTTTGGATCTTGGTACAGAATATTAATTGGTGGTGGTTTGTCCTTCCTTCTTGTTTTTTGTTGGCTGTTTGGTGGCTCCCTTTTTTGTTGGGCTGTTTGCTGCGGTGTCTGTGCTTCTGCTTGCTTCACCCTTGTCATTGTTTCCTGTTGGCTATTTTTTGAGCGCAGGTATGTCAGGAAATCCGACGTCTGCTCCTCAATGTCTAACTCCGGCTCTTCTATGTCTTCGTCCATTATCGGGTCCGGTAAGGAAGCATCAGGTAATGCTTCAAATCTGTTTTGCGTGGTTGCGCTGATTATATTTTCATATTTATTTTTGTATTCTTCTATTTGTTGTTGAAGCTTTTGGATTAGTTCCTTGAGCTGTATGTTCTCTGTTTTCAATTCTTCCGAATGTGATGATGCATCCGCTCTTTCTCCTTGTAACATCACTTTTTGAAAAATGGGTTCACCATTATCTGTCCTTTTCTTTTTGTTTCTTGCCATATTTAAATTAGGCTTTTGTGCATTAGTTTTTCTCTTCTGCATTACCTTATATATTGTCCTGTGCAAGTCCTTGTCATTTAACTTGTGGCGTTTCAGGTTATGTGCAATTGAGATTAGATCCTGATTATTGTCAGTATCTTTGTTTTCCGTACTATAGTCCGTTTTGGCTGAAGTACTTGCAATAATGGTCATTCCCTTGTCGGGGGAGACAGAGCTTGAATCTGTGTTTATAGATTCTTTCTCAATTATTAATCAAAGTTTAGTTGTGAACTAGTTAGCGTTAGTGTTGACTCGACGAAGGATCGACGAGAACTCGACGAGAACTGGTAGGTTTAGGTTTAGGTTTAAGTAAGTTTATTTTTGGGACATGTTTACAATAATAATTAATTTGAAATGTTATAAAATAAACTTACAAAAAAAACATTCTTTTTGTCGTGCTAATCGTATTTACATTGAGCGATACGGTTCTGGACTCTCGCCGCTACGCACTGTTTTTGGTTGAATTATAATCTTATGAATATAGTATCATGTGGTTGCTGTTAATACATATTTTCTATAATAGAATTATATAATATTGTTTGTATCCGTTGTCGGTTTTTCAGAAAAAAAGAGGATCTTATTGCACAAAAAAACTGAATTTCTTAATAATTAAGTAATTGGTTAGATAAATAAATAAATAATTATGTAATAAAAGTAATAATAATATTATTGTATAATTATATACACCTGTTTGTTTTTGTTTTGTATTATTTATACCTATTTATTGGTAAATATAAAGTTGCTAAATATGAAAATATGAAATAAAATATTTGTTGCTTTTTGTATAAATGCATTAGGTGATGTTTGCCCACCAATATCTTTTCCCATTCTTCTTATTCTTTAGTCTTTCTTGATTCGGTATAGTCGTATTGTAACGCAATTTTATATTATTGATGTTATTGGTGAGGTGTGTAATATATCCTAATTTTTTATTATTATTATGTCTAGGAAAATGGTATATGAGTGGTATTTCTTTCTGATTTTGTATATATCCTTTCGAGTCTAGGTAGATAAATGCTTCTGGTGGTATGAATCCCGAGTTTAGCGTTTTTTCATAATACATAGGATTAGGATACAGAGCTCCGTATATTAAGCTGTTTTGTGTTATCTTACTCGCTTGTAGGTAGTGATCATGAATTAAGTTTATTATAAAGTTATCGACTCGCGGAATGTTTGCTTTGTTATATAATTTTTGATTGTTGATATATTTTGTATGATTAGATTCTTTAGATCTGTTCATGTGTAAACATGCTGTCAAACATTTTCTTTCGAATAATCGTATTTTTTCCATGAGAGATGCACTAATGTTGTACCAAATGGGGCATCTGTAAATGATTATCGGTCTTATTAATAATTGGTAGCATATTATTTTAATTTCGGGATGTAAGTGTCTCGAGTAAAAGTCTTTTAAGTATCATGAAAGTCATGTTGGTCATGTTGGTTTTTGTGAGCTGAGTGTCAATGTGTTTTTCGTAGTGTAGTCTCTCGTCGAATAGTATTCCTAAGTATTTTACCACATTTTTATGTGGAATTTGTTGAGTAATGTTGTTTTTGGATGAATTTTCTATCGTGAATGTTTTATAGTTTTCCCTAACATTTTTATTCGCATAGATTAAGGATGATCTGAATAGGAGACGAGAACTGGTACTTTCAGCATGGAAGTTAACGAAACCAGTAAAAATGTGAAAAAGTTTTACGTTCATTACAAGATAGATTTATTACAACAATTTTTTCCAAGTTTAATTGTCTGCTATGTTTTTTTCCTTATTTGCTGAACAAAACAATCTGATCATCATTATGAATATTTATGTGCTTAGTATAAAGAAATCCGATACCTTGAACTAATAATTACAAATTGTTTCTTTAAAACCAGTCTCTCCACTGAAGAGAGAATAGGAAATATGCTATGTAAAAATAAAAGTATCATCTCCTTTTATTCTGAATTTTTATTATTTATTTTTGTGCCATACGAAAATATGTACCCGTACATACATAATTTAATTCCTGAACAAAACTTGCTTAATTTAAATTGAGCCTTTCCTCAAAAAGTTTCAGTAGTTCTTCTCTGGTTATACCATTCCACAAGCAAGTTGTCTCCTCGTCTGATGGTGTCACATCTCGTACGAGCTCTAAATACGTTTTCAAAGGACAAAGTTCATTGCAATCCGCAAGCTTCATAGTTATCAACTTTTCTGTTTTGCCGGTCCATAAGATAATCTACCAAAAACAAAAAGTAATTATCAGTATCAATATCGATAAAATAAGTTACACTTATGTAAAATACATAGTCTTACAAGGCGCATATTAAAATATTTTTTTAAATTACATTAAATTATAATTAAAAATTTAACTTTTATTTTTGAATCACAATTCAATTAGTATCTGATTTATAATTCCAATTTACATTTTGTCAACTGGATTATTATGTGATAATTACCCTGACGTAGAGTTCACCAGCGTCATTTCGTAACTTCTCAAATATGAATGCTGAACCATAATCTGGTAAGCGCGGCTCGCTGATATTATGGGCTCCGGCAAACGCTGCAATATTTATCTCATGGGCGCTGTATACGTACATCTTGCGTGGAATCTTATTTTTTCCTGTGATGTTCAAATTGTCGATAAATTTCTTGATCAACATGCCACCGTTCAATCGCTTTAACTGAGTCGTGTACGAACGGATCTCGTATTCCAATACGATTAAGTTCTCCATCTTGTGGAACACTTCGTCAGTGCACCACTCCGGCAGAGTTAGATTCATGTTTTTCTATAAAAAGCGGATGAACAATAAGACGCAATAATAATAAAATAAAAGCAATATGTACAATGTTATATAAGAGCCTATAAAATAAAATATAAATATTAAGATATACTATAAAGTATTGTAGTCATTAATTATTGAATATAATACGTTATTATCACGTACTTTTGGCATTTTTAGTAATGATATTTCCAGTTTTATTTAAACAATTAAATTTTTGTGATAGTAAAAAAATAAATTTTTCATAACAAGATCTCAACTGATGTTTGATATGCAAAATAATTTATTTTGATATAAATGTTTGGTTTACCTGTGCTGTTAATAGAAGGGAAAGTTGACCAGCGCGGAACGAGTCTGTGACGGTTATTCCAGTTTTCTCACTTAAAAATGTTAAAAAGTCTTTGTAAGCTGCAATTTTATCGCGGATTTCTTTGGTTTTTTTTACTTCTTCTAAGGCTGCTTTATATCTAAAAAAAATCAATATTAGAATCAGTTATGTTTAGAAAATTGGTTTTTTTTTATATTGTAATTATAGTTTAGAACATTGCTGGTAAAGAAACTATATATTAACATTTTAAACGATATTTTAAAATTTTTTCCCTGTAATAATAAATTAAAAAATGGATATAAAAATAATGTTTTCAAAATATGAAATATATTCATGATAAAAAATAAATATATTAACACTGGGCAGTTATGAGGTTTTAGCATTGTGTCCACTCTTTCAGGAGCATAATGCGTAGGAATAGCTAGCCATGGTAAATCCGGATTCCATAATTGTGTTGGATGTGGAGGATATAACCCTGATAACATCAACTGCAGAGACATTTTCGTCCGGTCGACGTCTGTGCTGACAGCATAGATATCTCGTGGATGATAAATTGACCCTAGAAAATCGTTGTAACGTTCTCTCAACATTGTGCCGATTCGATATTCCGTCAATTTTCCTTTCTGAAAAATAAATATATATGTCTTCCTTATTTATTACAGTTTATCAATAGTCTATCATATTTGTACAGTAGTTAGTCAGAGTAGCAGCACAAGTTATAGCTTCAAATGCATAGAAAACAAAAAAAAACTTTTGTATTAAATATATTTATATATACAATAAAGTATCTCAAAATTATTACTGCATAAAATAATTGTACATATACATCAATGTAATGTTAATTAATGTTATAATATTATAATTTTGTGCTTATTGCCTAAAAGTCAAACTTTTGATTGACAAATTCAAATAAAATCAGTAGGAGCGTAAAGAGTCACAATGCTAGTTCTTCGTGCGAAAGTTATAATATATTCGTTTAAAATTGTTTACATTAAATGTTTTTGCTTGACATCAGGCCTTCTTCAGTGTACATTATTAAAAAGTAAAGTTCGCTCGCAATAATTATATAAAGTAAAAGATGTGAAAGATGTATTAATAATCCTTTTTTAACCAATTTGTTGTTCGGTAATAAAATAGTTATTACCGAATAGTTATTACCGAACAACAATTTGGTTGAAAAAGGATTATTAATACGTCTTCCACATTTTTTACTTTATGTAATTATTGCGAGCAAACTTTACTTTTTAATAATGTACACTGAAGAAGACCTGATGTCAAGCAGAAACGTTTGATGTAAACAATTTTAAACGAATATATTATAACCTTCGCACAAAGAACTAGCATTGTGGCTCTTTACGCTTCTACTGATTTTATTTGATTTTAATTATGTGTATATGTATATGAGATAACTTTTTAAGATCTATATGCGCACCGTGCGATTAAAAATACGCAAACAAGATATTTATCTTGATATCAGTCACAAAACTAAATCAAAGAAGATTTAAAAAGAGTCGTAACATCAGAATAATATTTCTATAAAGTTTTCGCCTTGGCACATTAGCACAATATTAATATGTGCTTACATTGGTCAGTTGGCCAAGACCCCACGGTTCATAAACCGACGCATTATATGGATCGTTGGGATACATTTCATTAAGTAACGGTGTACGTTCTCCATGTCTTATTACCTGAAACACATAGCAATTAGATAGAAAATGTATTACATTATTGTAATTTATGATTTAAATAGCATATATATTAACAGTGAAGTAATATATAATAAATACAAAACAATTCTTCAATTTTATACACTTTAATTCTTTAATTTCAATTTTATATATCATTATTCCATATTCTAATTTTATAAATCTGCTATCATCAAAGTTTGATAAATATGTAGCAATGTATTTGCATATCTGCTTTCACTCACCACTTGGACCAATTCCACATGAAACTCAGATCGTCCTAGAAACACAAGCAAACTGAGCAAGAGCGAAGATCTATATAGATGCACACAATTCATATTTGCAACTGGTACGAATACAATACTATTAAAAATTATAATTAAAAATGTCATTAAAAATAAAAAATTAAAAGATATTATATTTCCTTGAAAGATCGACTACATGTCGTTGAGCGACAACATGTAAGACAACTGTGAATAGATTGTCCTTGTTCGATCTATTTATCTGCTTACAGCATGCTTACCTATATACATCTATATCTACACCTACACCTTACCTATAAACCTGTATGTTTTGATATAGAACTTTAAATTGAGAGTTCGATATACTATCTCGGTGGACTCTAAAAAAATTGTATCCATATCTGTTGCGATATGTATGACAAAACAAATTTTATACTGACGCACATATTTTTCTTTGATAATAAATATTATTGCATCTGCACAAGCAAAAACTTTGAAAATTGGATTGCAGCTAAAGGTGTTACTTTGCTTCCTTCTTTAAGAATTGATAAATATAATTGTTAACATTATAATTAGTTCTAGTTATTTAAAATAAAAAAATATTAACACAATATACAGTGTTCCCAGAAATGTTAAAGTTTTATATATCAAAGTACATGTATAAGTTGTTAAAAACAAAAATTTATTGAACAAGGGCAACTTGTCTATATATAGTATTACACGTTGGATGTTAAAATAAAAAAAAATGTTAACATCACACGGTGTTCTCAGGCGGTCAACCATCTAGGTACTGACCGTGCCCAATGCTGTTTAACTTCAGTGATCGGACGAGAACTGGTACTTTCAGCGTGGTATGGAAGTTAACAAGTGCGTTAGTAATGTGAAGAAATTTAAAGTTCATGACAAGTTTAATTGTTTTTTATTTCTTTCTTTCTATTTATTGATAAAAGTTTTTTGAGGATTGCTGTTTCAATGTATTACTAATGCAAATTGATGCTAAATGAATGTGCATAAAAATAATGTTGCATTATATAGAATGTATGTAAATAAAAAAAAGATGTGCCAACATCACACGGTGTTCCCAGGCGGTCACCCATCCAGGTACTAACCGTGCCCAATGCTGCTTGACTTCAGTGATCGGACGAGAACTGGTACTTTCAGCGTGGTATGGACGTTGGCTTGCTGAGTAAGTTCTTTACAAAAGTTTTAACTTATTATCATATGTATTTATTTATATTAATTTTTTTTATTAATATAATTAGTTTATTTAATTTGCATTAAACGCTTGATAAAATGTATGATTGTTTGTAAATTTAGCGCATTTTTGTAAAATACGCACGCTATCTTATGCAAGTTTATGTGGATAAACCTTTGTACTCATGTAAATGGCTTTGCAGCTTAATGGAAATATCTTTTTATTCCTGATAGCGGTATTCAATATGGCGTAACACATAATGCGTGCGTCTACTGTCAAACTACAACAATGTGGTTTGCACTTTCGGGATCTGTTTCGATTTTTTCGCAAATGTACACGTTATTTAACCTATGTGGACGAACATCGGTGTGTTTTTAGCTATGAAAACTCGTCGTTTATGAATATTGAATGGTTAAAACGGATAACGCGAGTGAAACTACCGGCAAATATAACCTGGTGAAGTGAACCTTATCGAAATTTTTATGCAAGTTTATAAAAGCAGTAGGATAATATTTAAAAATAAATAAATTTTTAATAACACCGTTATATGACGGAAGAAATATATTAAGTCGAGAGCACTGTTTAATGATTGTCTTTTTGTGTTTTTTAATACCGCATCAGAACTCTAACCTAATTAAAAATATCGTACATGTTGAAATGACTTTTGTCTCATTTATTAAACGCAATAAATGAATACTTCTGAAGAATCACTGAACGATCAGGATCCTGATTACGTCTCCACAACCTCCAATGACCAAACCCAACAAAAAATTTACGAAGAAAATGGTAAGCATATTGATGTCACTACAATATTTAATAATAATTTTTTATTTGTGTTTGTGTTTTAAAATTATGCAAATTTGTTGAAATATAATGATTTATTAATAAATTTACGATTTTTGGATGATAAATAATAATGATAAATTATTGTATCTTAATTATATATATATATGTTACAAATTATCACATTTTATATTTAAATAATATATTTTTATTTTATTAGCAAGAAATACTACAGCAAGAAAAATAACGACAATAGTGGAGAAGGAGTTTTCAGAAGAAATTGATTCAAAGGAGAAGGAAATTTTGCAGATACAGGAAAGATTACAAAAAGCTCTAAAAATTTTTCATCTCTTGCGCTATGTCGTGATTACCAATTTTTATAATCGTAAACAGTGCCAAAATTTGCAACCAACAGAGACAACAAAACAAACAAGAATTCATCCTGCTATTAAATCAATACTTGGAAAATATCCCAAATCTGCTCAATGGACAGATGCTGCAGTGCCATCGACATCTACAGATCCTCAATTTTTATACAATGACGAGTCTTTTGCACCAGCTTCAAGAGTTGCAACAGATAATGCACCTAAAAGTGAACAAAATGCAGACAAACTTGATATCGCATCCCAAAATACGAAGCGAAAACTTCTTAGTGAAGAATGTCGACCTCGTAAAATGCCTCGTTACGTGCCGCCGAAGAGCAGCACGCCGGAGAAGACGTCGCCATCGCGCGGCAACAGTCATAAAGTGCGCAAACGCATTATTATCGGTAACATTTCCAAGTGGATCCCGCCGGATTGGCGCGAAGACGCCTCCAGTCACAAATGGACGATGTACGTTCGCAGCGATAAGGACGAAAGCGCTGACATTTGTAACTTTCTCTGTAAGGTGAGATTCTTTTTGCATCCCAGTTACCGTCCGAACGATGTCGTCGAAGTCACATCGTATCCGTTTCATCTATCCAGGAGAGGATGGGGTGAGTTTCCCCTTAGAGTACAGTTACATTTCAAGAATCCTCGGAATAAACCCATGGATATAATTCACCACCTGAAGCTGGATCGTACTTATACAGGACTGCAAACGTTGGGCTCGGAGACTCTGGTCGATGTGTGGATCCACACAACGGAGTCACGTATTTTCGAGCAGACCAGCAGTGGCGAATCTATCGAGTCTTCCTCTAATAACTCAGTAAAAGTAGAGTCGAGCAATGGTGATAGTTCCGAGATTATCTGTAAGCAACTGGTGAAATCTACAAGAAAGTCGCATCTTACTGCGAGCGCTATCGAGGAAATTCGAGTGAAAAAAGAAATAATTGATTCAGAAGTTCAAGAACGAACGAGTTCATTGGATTCAACGTCAATCGAGAAATGGGAAGACTTCAGAGTGAAGGCTGAATCTGATGATGCAACTGTGGACATATTCAATGATGAGAATGGCCTGGGAGAGACGTATTATAGCATCACGCATGATCACGATTATTCTAAAAAACGCTACTTTGACTCTCGCCATTGCACTGTAAAAGAAGGGAACATAACCATAGCACACTTTTCCGACAATGAAGTGGAAAGTACGTCGCAGATATTGAACGGTGATATTCAGTCTTCCAACAGCTGTCAATCTTTGGCAGTTTCAAATTCAGTGACAGATAATTTGCAGATTGCAGTGAATACTGTATTGCAAGCAAACGACAGTCAGAAGAGTTTGAAAGAGTCAACTTTGTTTAATACAAACAAATCTGTACAAGCAACAAATTTGGAGAACAGCGATATTTTTGAAATTTCGAAAAATAATCCATCTAAAAACACATGGATGAACGGCTTCTGCAAATCGTCTAATGCCTCGCTTGATCGATTAAATAATTTACAGAACTCCACGAAATCCTGCAATCTGAAGCCTCTACAAATTTCTATACCACCGACGAATGTATTCGCATCGCCGAGCAATAAACATGTGCTTCTTTTGAAGAATAAGAAATCAATTCCAGTGGACGTGACGAGCATCCTTTCATCGAGCGAGAATTCAAAGAGGCTGAACAGCGACTTGAAAGCTTCTGTCGTAAGAGACGACGCGAAACAGAACGTTCGTATTTCTCAGGGTGTTAGTATTTTGAAGAAACCATTCAATAGCAAGGCGCAGCAAGAAGGCATCAATAACAATAGCAAGAAGACCGCTGTACTCAGCCTGAAGAGCACCAACAGTTTTCTGTTGAACGTCAACGAGAACGTACCGATCCTGAAGATAGCGGATTCGCGCGATCCGCAATACAATTACAGCTACGCCGAGGCGACAAGGGACGTTGCGAAGCAGGAGGTCGCGTCGTGCGCGAGGTTGGGAAGCAAATCGTTGGTCACGCAGCGACCAAAAGTCACGCTGGGCAAGGACAAGTACAAGATTCACAGCAAAAAGGAACTGTATGAGACGGTTCTCCAGTCGATCGACACCGCGAATATCGTCGATACGGAGGCGCTGATACGATTCATTGCTCGTCGATTGCCGCTCGTCACACAAGATGCACGTGATCCCGAGTACAAGCAACTGCATCTTTATGCGTGCAGTAGCGAGGAGGAGTACTTCGCGCAGAACGTCGGCAAGCAGCGAGCCATGGAGTGGTGTCGCGCGAGGATGATCAGGTGCTTCCTGCAGAAGAGGCCGATTTCGGCCGATCAACTGTGGAGCGTCAAGGAGATCTTGATATGGTTGAGACTGCACGGCTACACGCCGACGCAGAGCGCTTTTGGCGCACTGGAAGCTACGACCAGCGACACGAAGAAGCTACCCGACACCGCGACATCCACTGCGATCCTATCTTCGTGCACGGAACCGGTCGCGTTGCAAAAGTGGTTGCAGACCTCCCGGCAGGACTCTAGTCATCAGGTGGACAGTGATATCGAAGAGATCGACGTCGAGAACGAGGACTGTGGAGCTACAACTGATCGGAAAAGAAACAACGACATCCAGAGTGGCGATTGTTCAACCACGTTGGTGCCGCTTGAACTTGATAAGAGCTTGCTGCCACTTCACAATTTTGTATGCAACACCGCGCGAGATATCGGTGTCAGAATTGGGCCGGAGGAGATTGTTCCTGGTGTTATGTATTGTGCAACTAGTCGTGTGATGATGCGGGTAAGAATTACTTCTCGCATATTTCTTGAGGAATGAATGAAAGTTGCATCATCATTAATGAACATGTATCTTTTCAGGTTGTTGAATGTTTTGTGAAAGACCTGGTTCGATCGTCGTTGGCAAAGGCTTGGGAAAGAAATAGCGGAAATGGGTAATTTTATTTCTTTTTATTTTTTATGGCAAACTGTCGTTTATTTTGTTTCTCACATATTGATCTCCGCTTTTTTGCAGATGCCCCACGGCCATTACGCTCAATGACGTCCGCAAGGCTCTCATGAGTCGAGAGGAATTCGACATTTTCACAAACGAAGGTCTAGGCTCGGGATTACAATTGAGTTCGACGGAATTATCTAATTTATGACGTCTTCTAATACGCGAATCGGATCTTGACAAGAATTTGATTGTTGCAATACTCTACATGTTTATAGAGAAAAATCAAGATGCGAGTCTACGGGCGGAAAGAGAACTCAAAAATTTTATTTACGTTTAATTTATCTCAGTTCCAGCCAACTGGAATATTATGGCGATCAATCTCGCGTTGCAGCCACTTGCGTATCGGCTCGTAGTAGGCTAGGAACGGCTTCACGCGGTACTCAGCGTAACCAGTTATTACACGCAGCGCATCTCTCCAGTCTATGCTACTGCCAAGTTTCATCGTTGACCTGAAAGTCAAGTAAGCTAAGAGCGCATCTCCGCATACATTCGTACATCTTTGTCCACATTTTCCGCGAAGCAAATGATAGAAAAATTATTTTTTTTACAACTTCCTTTCTTACTTTAACGAAAGACAAAAATAGAATTAAAGTTATTATTTTATAAGAATGCTCGTAATTGATTTCTAACCTCAAGATCTTTCCCGCATTCCTTGAGCCGTAAATATCGCATTTATGAAGAAGTAAGTTGGCAGTGGAATTGAATCTGAGACCCAAAGACGCCTCGCACATGCCTTGGAATAATTGGATTTGTAGAAAGTTTCCCAGGAAATATCTGTCAAAACCAAAATGCTTTTTATCATCTGGATTGCTCACTTTTGTCGTTTCAACTTACCTAGCGTAAGGTATATCGTGAGCGATGTGAAATTTGGCTGCGGGATCGAAGAACTTCTCGGATCTCGGCGACGGCGGCGCGACGCCCATGTATCGACGATGCAAGTTCCACCAGGCTGCGTTGTACTTTGATGGCTTTATTCTACCAGAGAAGACCGACCATCTCCATTTTTCTATTATCAACCCATTAGATAACTGCGGAATTTTGAAAAGAGCCTGTCTTAAGAGGATAGCTGTTTCCAGTAAATCCCGCAAATTGGCCGCGGATGAATTGGCGAATGACGCAAACGTGTTTTGCATGAATCCCAGACGCTGCATGTGTCGAAGGGAAGCTGCACCGTACGAAACGGCATCGCCTATCGACTCGTGGAAAGCGCTATTGATTCCATTCTGAATAAACAGAACATTTTTAAAAATATATTTTAGATTACGCAAAAATTTTTATAGAATAGCTAATTAATTTAAATTGATTTCAGATTTGAGGGATTGAGTACCTTGAAAAACGATGGTTGATTCTGATACGCCATGTAATATTGCACGTGACCCATTTCGTGATAAATAACATCGAAATCTTGCGGCTTCGTCTCGAGACAGGCAAACATTCTAAAATCAAGATGAAATTGATCAATTGAACTTCTAACATCTATCGTCGTGGAAGTACCTGAAGTCATTCTTCTTGTACATATTAACAGCAGTTGCGTGGCAGCTAGATCTCCTGCCAGTTTCTTGCTCGAAGATGGAGTTTTTCCAGAATTCTGGTGTTAAGGGCGGAAATCCGAGAGACACATAAAAATCTTCCGCCGTTTTCATCATTTTTGTTACGCTATAATTTTCCTGTTTTATTAAGTCTATTAGATTGGACTCGATCACAATATAATCTGGAAATATTACGTCGATCAGCGCTTCCCAGCTTTGCGACCACAAGTTACCTGCAAGATTATCGATCGGCTGAGAAAAGAAGAAATAGCTTTGCTATCTTCAGTCTTCACGAAATTTTACCTAATAAATGAGCTGGAATCGGCTGGAACACGTCAACAACATCAGGATATAATCTCGCGAGCCGGAATCTTACGACAGCGTGAAGAAGGCGATACAGTGGCTCGACTTGTCGATACATTTCATCAAAGACGCTTTCTAAGTCTAGTATCTCAAACTCCTCTCTCCAATATTCTCCGATATCAGCGTAGCCTCGCACAGTAAGATTTTCAATTATTATCAAAAATAAAGTTTGATAGTTCTTCATATTTTTAATCTTTAATTATAATTACAAATAAAATTTTATTTTTTATTTTACAAAATAACTTTCAAAATATATATATCTTTATTTTTTGGTTTCTCTATAATAATAATTTTAAAGATTTTAATTATAAGATTATATATTTTGTGTGTAATACATTACCATTATTTTGTGCAGCTATGTTTTGAAGATCGGCTAACTGTCTAAAAAGTTCCTTTGTGTGGCTCATACGATCCCTCCAAGCAGTCCAAGCCCAACGTAATTCCTTCTCGTTTCTAAATAAACAAATATACATTTCCAAGAGGAGCTTGAGAATTTAAATATCGGAACACACCTGGAAGTTGCCATTAACTTTGCTACGTCCGATTCACCGTTATAACATTTCCGTTGGTAGTTCTCAATTTTGCAAATCTGTATGGAATCATACGCAGATGACAAGAGCTCACTGACAACAACGATTTTTCTATAATAATGAGTAACAAATTAATTTTATTATTTATTTAACAAATACAATGATAAATATAATACTAATCATTAATAAGTACAATAACAGCTTTTAAAAAGGATCTTTGAGAAACTTGTCATACCTTGCTATTTCAAGGGTATATTTCGGTCCTTTGCACAGAAAATGTAACACCTTTTTGTTTATGGATATTCCATTGTTCCAAACATTCGTCAATTCTGCACACCATCGATTTCTCCATTTCATCTTCAGTTGAACGAAATGTGTATACACTTCTGGTGGTACAATTGTAGAGTTTTTGAAAGTTTGCCATTCAAAATTGGCTATTACTCGATTCAAAAACTCAAACACGTTGTCCATCCGGATAAGAAAGTGCTCCAACGCTTTATTATCACTTTTTCTTGCTGTGGTAAATAATACTATTAATTAAAAATTGTTTAATAGATAAAAAACACGCGTAATTGATTAAAAAATTATTTTTAAAAACTAAAGTACAGCGTGATTAATCAAAATTTAATTTTTATCTAAACACTTCTAATGTAATTACTTTACTTTTTGAAGCAGCATTGATATGAAGAATGCATGCAACAAGGCAAAGAAAAAACATATTTCGCAAAAACTTTCTCAGATCAACTGCCATATTTTACAAATAGTGTCACATCCTGCTCCGGAGAAGAACTAATCCTGCCGCGGGAAAGCGAGAGCCTTTATCTGCGTTCGATGATCAATTAACGTCTGCCCGCATTTGCGCTGTTCCTTGTGTTTTTTTTAAACAGAAGATATATCTTTAATTGAAACCCACGCACTGTTTATTTTGCCAGCAAATTGCTCTTCATTCACAGTCCTTTTTGGTCTCCAATTGCCTCAGTCGGCGGAAAGGAAAATATTCTACTGTTTCATTTAGCTTTCTATTTTGAGAAAATGAGATTTTTAGTGTAATTCTACGGATTGACGTACGCACGACAAAGTTTTATGTCCACATAATTAGAAAAGTATATTAAATTAAGAATTTTAAAAAGATGTATAATATTAGATATATCTATAATTATAAATCATATAATAATGTAAATTGTACATTAAATTATAAATATTGTACAATTAATAATAATATTAATTGATATTATTGTTAATTAATATCATACGGATGATATAAATAATGTTTAATTTTTTGCGGTCTTGTGGCGTCACGCTTGCACTTCCGGTGTCGGACGGAAGTAGGTTCGCCTAGTTTAACCTTACATTGCAGTCGCACCACAGTCGACATTATTATGACAGAAGAGACGTCAAAATTCGTCGACGGATTGTAAACAAACTGGACCGGCGTGCATTGAACACCGTCACCGCGTACTTTGTCGTACGATAATCGTTTTTGCACCTTTTATGTACACACAAGCGATCAAAATGCCGGTTCAAAAGGATTCCAATATTGTGAAAATCGCCGTTCAGATGACCGACCAAGTGCCGCAGCTCATCGAATTCAACCAGAAGCAACCTCTGACTGGAATTATCCAGGTATAGTAATTTTACCACAGATTTTAGTATTAAACGTAATATTTCAATTTTGTATTTATAATAATATAAAAAAATGGTGATATAATTAACATCTTTGTTTTTAATCTCAGGAATTGTGCAATGGATGGGGCTTATCTGAGGCGGAGTCATATTCATTGCAATTTTCGGAAAATAACAATCAGAATTACATCACGGAGAAAAACAGGAATGAGGTGAAGAATGGCAGTATTCTCAGATTAGAATTTTCGCCGTCGAAAACGGCAAGTGATATTTTGGCTAAGCTGAATAACGGCACACCGGAGGAGAAAGTAGCAGCTTTGCAGAAGCTGAGTACGCTTAGCATAGATATGACTTTTGCATTAGAATTTATAAACAAGAAAGGACTGGCACTAATTATCTCGCAGGTATGTAATTTTTTATATTAGATTTCATATTTTATGCAATATATAACTATTGTTGATAATTTATATTCTTTAATTGTAATGTAACTATTGTTTAAAGGTGGAAGGTGGAAAGTGCAAGGGAAATGTACTTGCCTTTTCTCTCCAGTCATTTGTGGAACTGATGGATCATGGAATTGTATCGTGGGACATATTAGAAACACCCTTTATTAATAAAGTGGCGAGTTATGTGAATAATCAGTCAACACCTCAGGACACTAGCATAGTAGAAGCATCTCTAAGTATTCTAGAGAACATTGTTCTGAATTCAACTGGGAAATATGGACAAGTAGAGAAGGAAGTCACTTTTCCTAATCTTGTAATGCACTTGCAGTGCATGAATGCACAAATTCAACAAAACGCGATAGCTTTAATAAACGCATTGTTTCTGAAGGCTGATTTGTTAAAGAAGCGTGCAGTTTCCGCCACATTGCAGTCCAAACAAGTCAGAAACGTTTTCTTGACGAACATTATACAATCTACTGGACAGGTAATTAAATAGTTTATCAGTATATTGCGTTTTTTTCGTTTTGATCTTACACATTCGTTTAAAATAAATAGAACAGTTTGTCTAATTGCAACTTTGTCTCATTAGATTCTCTATATTGAGTTTATCTGACTTGTCTGTCGTATGCTAATACCTTAAACTTTTAAAACAAATATTTATTTTGGAATTAAACTGATCTGTAATACTCAAATAGCAAATCAAATCAAACATTAGTATTTTCAATAATATGTTAGTGGAATTATTTTTTTATTACTTCTAAAATTTCTATTTTTACAGGTTGGAGCGGAAATGGCGCATCAACTCTATGTACTGCAGACACTAATGCTGAGTCTTCTGGAACAACGAATGATGACGAAGATGGATCCGCAGGATCAAGATGCGCACGATAAAATTAAAGAACTTCGAAGAATCGCTTTTGATACAGAAGGTGCAAATAGCGGTGATGTGGCTGCTCGCAAGCAGGGACTTTTCGCCAAGGATTATAAGAAATTGGGCTTCAAGTACGACATCAATCCAGCTCTTGATTTTACCGAGACTCCACCAGGTATGCTCGCACTGGACTGTATGGTATACTTCGCGCGTAATCATACTGAAGGTTACACGAAGGTCGTTCTCGAGAACTCTTGCAGAGCGGATGAGCACGAGTGTCCCTTCGGCAGAACAAGTGTAGAACTTGTTAAATTGCTTTGCGAGGTGAGACATTTTTATTATAAAAATTTATAATATACATTGTATATTTGAGACACAATTTTATCGTAAAAATTTATAATAAACATATATTATCTAGATTGAAACTATATGTTTAACAAAAAGTTTGCACGATACGTAAAATAAACTAAGTATTTGTTTTGCTTAGGTTTTACGCATTGGCGAAGCTCCCAGCGAACAGAGTCAATCGTATCACCCGATGTTCTTCACACACGATCATCCCTTTGAAGAGTTTTACTGTGTCTGCATAGTTCTGCTAAATAAGACATGGAAGGAGATGCGAGCGACCACAGAAGATTTCGTCAAAGTCTTTTCCGTCGTGCGCGAGCAGATCACTAGAGCACTTCAGTGCAAGCCTACAGGATTGGATAAGTTCAAGAGTAAATTACAGCAGCTGACTTACTCGACCATCACTAATCTTTGGCAACAGGAAAGAACGAGCAGGGAAGAATGGGAGAGCCACGCCAGGCCGATCGTTGAGCTTCGAGAGCAGATAACTCCTGAAATCTTGGAGCTAATTCAACAGCAGCGATTAGGATTTCTCGTGCAAGGCACCAGATTTATGAAGTACAGTGCCAGAGGACAGGTACGCAATAGTTCGATAAAATCTCTTCCATGTTACACATATAAAATGTATGTGAAATTTTTAACAAATTTTTTGACATTTGTAGAGAATTAAGGATAAATTCTGGTACGTCCGTTTATCACCCAATCACAAGGTCTTCCATTACGGAGACTGCGACGAGAAGTCAGTGCCGACGATAGACGAGCTTCCTACGAAACTAGTGGTAGTCGAGATTCTAGGGTTGCTAACTGGCAGGGATTGCCCGCACATGAAAGACTTGCAGCGGCGGAAAACTACGCATCAGTTGGCGTTCTCCTTGGCCCTGGATTCCGTCGAAGTGACTAGTCTCGACTTTGTCGCTCCTGATGAACAAGTTTTCGATTATTGGACTGACGGTATTAACGCCTTGCTAGGTAAGTCGCGGATTCGATGTTATTTTAAGCATTTTGATATGAAGATAATTATTTTTTTATATATTTTTATCTTCTTACAGGAAACAGAATGACTAGTAAGGAGGCTGAAAATGATTTGGAGACTCTGTTATCCATGGATATTAAATTAAGACTCCTCGATACCGAAGGGATCGATATTCCACAAGATCCACCCACGATTCCCGAACCGCCGCCAAATTACGACTTTTGTTATGAGTTGAAGTAAAAAGCGTAAGTGGTGTTTATCTATTATTATACAATTTATGTCGCTATATATATATATATATTGATTTTATAGTCATTGATCTTTAGACATGTATGCCATTTTAGATTCTTTTTTCGATCTCTCGTGTTCGTATTATACTGTTATCATAAGCTAATCTAGATTTTATCTAGAATTTTAATTTTTCATTGCATATTTTAATCGTGTAATATGTCTTACCAAAGAAATGTTTTATATATGCAGATTATATACAGGTATGTTTTTTAGAAATTTTTTTATACATTCCAATTGGGAATCGTGTATAGAAATGACACTATCACAATCATGTTGATGATTTTTTTTACGATAATTTAATGCTCTGATAGTATAGCCAGTCTGCCATGATATAATATTTTATATATTAAGATTTTTCATCTATTTAACTATGTTATCAGTATTTTATACTAATCTATATGACTAAGCTATAATGTAATTAATAAACTGTGAAGAACTCAGTTTTACAAGATATTTATTGAAACTTTAACTTATAAAATTCTTTACTACGTGTCTGCAAGTTTGTGCCCTGGCAACAGAATGTTGCATAATATAACTATGAAATATGATCATTTTTTAGAAGTGGCAATAATATATTTTATGTGCAAATGTACATGTAACTTGAAAAAATAATGTATTATCGTACAAGTGGCAATCTCGCGCCTGACGCTTCTCCGTGCGAGAGAGTGCGTGAAATAAATCACTCGGTGGCTTTTACGTCGTCAGCGTTATATGACGTCCTCCGAAAGAATATGGTAATGCTGAAGGTCGTTCGTTTGATGATCCGGCGGGCAGAGGAAAAATTCGATGAAATTAAGCACGGGTCCCCGACTGAAGGGATTCAAATACTTGCCCCTCTTGTCTCTTAAGTACGAGTATCTCTTATAATTGAACATTTCGTTGGTAGTTAGATTCATACAGGCGTGTAGAACCTGTTGAAGGGAAATAATGATGAAGAATTTAAGTATGTTAAAAAGAAATGTGATAGCAATGCAATATTTACCGAGGTACAGGTTAATATCCAGCCGAGTCCGCAGAAGACGAGGGCTTCTATTACACCGAGAACATACAGCAGTTGAATGCCCTCAATCGCGATGCAGTAACATGCGAAATATAGGGTGAAGGAGCAATTTATCGCCACGCACATGACGAACAGGAAGAACCACATTCTGGAAACAAACAGTACGCATTCATAATATCAAATGTATAATATTCAAATTATATGTAATATCAGCATTATAATTTGTCTAAATTGTACCTGTTCCTCAGGCCAACGCAGTTGTATATAAACGGACAGTGATGATCGAAATACGTAACGCATCTGTTGCAGATTCTGCAGTGTTTCGCTCGCAGAGGCCTGAAGCATCTACAGCTGTGACACAGTCGCGATAGTAAGACGTTCCGCTTCTTCCACTTGTCGAAATACGGGATCTGAAACGAGTTGCAGAAATTGCAACAATGTTGCCCGCCACGATCGCCCTGCGTGTATTTAATACCTGTTTTATCGCCCTGTAGTAAGTGTCGCTGTTTTGCGGCACGTAACCGGGGTCTCTTCTGTTAGCCACGATCCACGAGATCCACATGAGGATATTCCAGTAAATGAAACAGTAGTGGCTGCCACGTAGAAGGTTCCACGTTAGCGGAATGCACTTCAACAGGTACATCGGGTAGCCCCACAACAGGACGGATATCATGAACAGTAGCAACGGTCCTTTGCTGTTGCCCGCTCCGCCAAATAGCAGCGCCCTAGAACGCACCGATATCTCTCATTTATTCATTGAATTTTTTTGCTTCAGCGAAGGTAAAAGAATGTCACGAACCATAGTTCGTTGATAGGTGGAATCCATCTGGCTCGACGCTTCTGCTCCGCCTGCAGGATGCGCACGATCTCGGAATGGCGATGACTCTTGGCCAGTTGCAGCGGCGTCTTGCCGTTCTTGTCGCGCGGCTCGAGCTCGATCTTGCTCTTCTCGCAGAGAATCCGTACGCAGCTCATGTTGCCGGACAAGCAAGCCAGATGAAGCGGCGTCGAGCCGAAGTAGTCCGGCTTCTGCAGGTCCACTCCGCTGTACATCAGCAGCTTGATCAGCTCGGCGTGACCTTTGTACGCAGCCCAGTGCAACGCGGTGTCGCCGTTTATGTCTGTCAAGTGCCCCTGCGCGCCGGAGCCTAGCAGGAAGGCGGCCGTCGCGAATTTGCCGAACATGCAAGCGGTCATCAGAGGCGTCAGACCTTTGAAATCGGCCGCGTTCACCGCGACGCCGGCCTGGAAAAGGCGCGAGATAGATGCGAAAGGTTTCTTCACTTTGTGTCGTTTATGGAATTTTTCTATGTACCTTTAATAATAATTGCACTATCGCGCTGTGGCCTTTCCGACAGGCCCAATGTATCGGCCTGGGTCCCTGCGTGCCGAGGCATGGTAGATCTACGGGTCCGTTTCGCTCTATCAAATATCTCATCACCTGTAAGAGAGAAATTTTGTGTTCTTTAGCTTTGATCATGTCGACGAGATATTTGACGACATAATTTAATCTCAAATTTCAGATCAATCTTCTGGACTAACTTCAATATTGCCATCCAAGGCAGCCCAATGGGCAGGCGTGTATCCCCATTCATCCCTCGCACTGAGCAGATTCAACCCGTTCTTCTCAACCAATTCCTCGACCGCCTCAATTTCACTACAACACAAATGGTTCCTTAGCCTTTTCTATCGCTCACATTTTTTTTCAATTTTAAACTAGTTCTTTTTATGTTTATGTGAATTTATGTTTTTAAGTTAAAGCATTATCTAACCCGGCTCTGAGCAGCTCAAAGATTTGCTTGGTCTCATCGGTGGGGCTCTGACCGGTGGTGGCTTCGTCGGCGTAGATGTTGTCATCGGGGCGATTCCTCTGTCGCGTGTCCTTGCCCGAGCCATGATTCTGGTGGCCGGATATCGGATTGTTCGGTAGATGCCCGACCATGTCGGGATCCGGGCTTAGTTCCCATACGGATCGCGCCGCACCGGGCCCTGCCACAGGGCTCACGGGATACACCTGTGAAGGAAACACACGTAAAACCATATCTTTGAATTTCGAAGAAAGTGCATAAAGATTGAAGATTATTATCGCGCAAGAAAATATTGCACTAGGTAAATAATCACATTTTTTAAATACATTTATTAAACTATTTGAACAGACTTTTTTAATAGTTTAATTAATTAAACTATTCAAAATGTAATTAATTAAACTATTCAAAAAGTATCAGATTATCCACATAATCGTTATCTATCTACTTTGTTTCTTCTCGCGCCCTATTTTTAAAAATCTATCTCGACGCTAAAATCGCGATGTTTCCAGTGAATATAATTACGATGCAAAGATTTATTATATTGAAAAGGAGTAACGAAATTAATCTTTGCTTTTAATTACCTTGCACAGCGTCGCGAGTTCTGTATTTGTACGCTCGTGTTCGGAAGGCGTTCTGAAGGATGCGCCCTGCGTGGCGATCGTTCCACCCTCCGGAACGGTTAGTCACAAAGAGACATTGGGTCCAACCATGTCTTCCGAGTCTCACCTGGCGGCACAACTTTCCCTCCAGACCGGAAACCCCTGCGTTGCGATTCCTACGACGGAAACGTTAGCAGAAGCTCCTTCACGCGACAAGCGACGTCCGCATTTCTGAGAATGATCGCGAAACACCCGCTCGGTGTTTTGCGCATTCGAATCAATAACGCGGCGACGGAAACGCCTGCGTGCGAGGAACGCGCGAGAAATTAGGACGACGTATGTTCGCGTCATGGATATTTTAATTTACTGATAAAATCTCGTCGATTGGAACAAGCTCAAAAACATTAAAGTAATTCCTCTATCAAAAAATTGAAAATTCCAGATTTAGTTCGCTTTATGGAGTCTTTGCAATTATAGATTTTTAATGCATTGTTAGGTTTTTTTACTCTATAATATTTTTTTTTTTTCAAGAAGTTTATGATATTTGAATTTTTGAAACAGTTGATATGCTGCCTCAAATTAGTTGAAGATAAAAAAGAAAAAGAGGCTCGATATTTTGTGTTGGTAATGTAGTATTTTTTGACTTTCAGTTTCGCAAAATGTATTATAGTTGTCGCTATCGTCGTCATTGTCGCCATGTCGTCATCGTCGCCATGTCGTCATCGTCGCCATTTTCGTATTTAAAGCCGTTGAGATATAAATGTGCAATATTAGAACAACCGTATCTTTATTTGCTTCAATTGAACTATATAGAATCTCATAGATAATGCGACACTCATAAGTGGCTGATTTATAGGGACGGGAAAGACGAAGCTCCTGATATTAAGAGATTTAATAATTTCTAAATGGAAAACTAACCAAACAAGTCGTCCAGAGTTCGCGCGCACACGAGGCGAGGTACGCGTGATGTCGTCAGCTCGCAGTGTTTCTGATTTATTGAGTTGCATGTTGCATGTGATCTAACATGAAAACATTTCGAGTGCCGCTGTGCCGTAAGCTTTAGACGTTAGATTTAGATTAACGAGGCTTATAGTTGATGTGTTTATGACAATCTACGCGCAATGGCACCCACTATTCAAACCAACAGTAATCAAACCGAAAACAGAGATAAACGTCCGGCTAGGCCAGCCGAGAAAAGGTAAACAAAAACAATATAGACAAACGAGTGTAAATATGTTATAGATTGTTACATTAACTCATGTTGCTTTCAGATCTGAGCTCATATGCAGAGTTAAATATTGCAATACATTGCCGGATATTCCATTTGATCCAAAATTTATAGCATATCCCTTTGAACCGACAAGGTGATTAATAATCTTCGAAGATTCTATTGGAGATTCTCATGTATTTTTCTCTAATAATTCGTGATTTCCACAATTGCAGATTTATTCAATATAATCCGACCTCGTTAGAGCGTAATTATAAGTATGAAGTATTAACGGAACACGACTTAGGAGTTGAGATAGATCTAATAAATAAGGACACGTATGCGGGAGATCCAAATGCACAACTAGATCCAGCTGATGAGAAACTGCTGGAAGAAGATGTTCTCACACCACAGGACTCGAAACGATCCAGACATCATGCCAAAAGTGTCTCTTGGCTCAGGCGTACGGAATACATTTCCACAGAGAGCACTAGATTCCAGCCGCAAACAGCGGACAAAGTTGAAGCCAAAGTGGGATATAGTATCAAGAGAAATTTCAAGGTACGATACATGCTCTGCATACATATTTTTACACAATATTTTTCTAGTATTTCCATGTTTCTTAACATAAAACTAAATTATTAGGAAGAAACACTGTATATGGATCGTGATAGTCAAATAAAAGCCATAGAGAAGACATTCGAAGACAATAAAAAACCAATTGAAAGGCACTACAGCAAAGTGGGTGTAGTTCCTGTAGAAATATTACCAGTATATCCAGACTTCAAGGTAATATTACAACTATTGTTGTAGATATTAACACTGTCACGATTATTTTTCACTCAACTGCTGTTTCAATTTCTAGTTGTGGAAATATCCATGTGCTCAAGTCATATTCGATTCGGATCCTGCACCAACTGGTCGATCTGTACCCGCACAGATCGAAGAAATGTCCCAAGCCATGATACGGTAAGCTTTCACACAATAATTTTATAAGATTAAAAAAAAAAGTATTGAAAGAAAATGCTGTTGTTTGCTACACAGCTAATTTAAATATTGATGTACAAAAACGATGCTTCTTACAGAGGTGTGATGGATGAGAGTGGTGAACAATTCGTAGCTTACTTTTTGCCGTTGGAGGAAACGTTGGAGAAACGCCGACGGGATTTCACTGCTGGTATAGATTACGCTGACGATGACGAGTACGAGTACAAAATGGCGAGAGAGTATAACTGGAACGTGAAGAGCAAAGCCTCCAAGGGATACGAGGAGAATTATTTCCTTGTGATAAGAGAAGACGGGGTATATATACAGCCGTGCTGTTGCGTCACGTTATTAATTCCGCGATTCTTTGTATTAAATATTCTCGTACGTCGTAGGTTTACTATAATGAACTTGAAACGCGCGTGCGGCTGAGCAAACGTCGCCAGAAAGTCGGACAGCAACCAAACAACACGCGTCTGATAGTGCGTCATCGACCGCTAAACGCCAACGAATTCCGAATGCAGAGGTATCGAGAGAAACAATTGGAACCACCAGGAGAAGAGGATGAAGATGAAGAAGAGGAGGAAATCCAGCAAGAGGCGGAGAAGAATGACGGCAAAGGTTTGCCAATTAAAGGTCGCTTTGCACATTCGCTAATGTTATATTTTTTTCTTTTTTGAAAAATTTTTGAATATACAAAATTCTGCTCGCAGGTTCCGAAGCGGAGAATGAAGTAGAATCTCGTGCTTCGTCGAGAGCGTCTTCTCGAGCGTCCAGCAGAAGATCTAAATCGCGGTCTCGCTCTAAGTCCGGCTCGAGATCACGCTCACATTCACCATCCAAATCCAGATCACAGTCTCGATCGCGCTCGCGTTCTCCGTCGCGTTCGCCGTCTAAATCACGTAGCAAATCACGATCTAGATCTGGCACACCTCAGTCAAGGAATTCATCGAGATCTAGATCAAAGTCGGCGTCAAGATCACGCTCGGGAAGTCCTGCAAAGTCACCGTCGAGGTCTCGGTCGAGCTCGCGATCCAAGTCGAGGTCGCGATCAAGATCGAGATCCGCTACTGGTAGCGGTAGCGCTTCCGCGAGTGGTAGCGGCGAAAGCGGCTCAGAAAGCGAGTAAATCGAGAAGATTGGCAAAAGTGTCATTTCTAACCAAATTATTTCGAATGACACTTGTACATTTTTATTTTAAAGTATTCTGAAGGACAGCATTGTTGAATAATTTGAATAATCACGCGAGTCATCATTTAAGCAGGAAATGACGGCAATTACACGTAAGTAATAATTGCAACATGAATTCTTGAGATAAAAAAAATAAATTTATAAAAAAGCACTTATGTATTTAGCGCTTAAATCTTCGTGATTTAAAACGTTCCTGCAACGTCCTCGTAACAACGTAACATTTCCAAATCAGATTTCATAATTCTTATCTTCTTATCATCTTATTCCATATAGCTTTTTATTTCACGATGTACATCAAAACAAGATTTAGAATAGAAAGATAAATGACGTTATCTTCAATGTTCGACGATAACATCTCAGAGCGACAAGCTCAAAGATAAGTTTCGTTATTATCAGTTCTCATTAACTATACTTTTTATATTTTATCTTTTCTCTTTTTTCTGCTAAATAAGATAAATGGCTTAGTAGTCAGATATGTCCCAATATTCGACTACATTAACAAAATAGCTATTTGTTAAATATTTATAAAACCCAGCAATAATATTAAAAAACTTTAATGAATTAGTTTTTCATAGTGAAACAATTAAAAATTATTGCACAACATTTGATTATATAATAATTAATACAATAAGCTGGGATTAGCAAGATTATATGTAAGAAGTTGGGGTTGATTCTTCATGTTTATTTTATGCATTTTATTTCAAGAGCGAAATATAGTGCGGTTGAAAAAAACGTATACGTTCCTGAATACTACAATATCATGTGTCGTTATTACAGTATTTAGTAAAACAACCTGTATTGCAGCTAGATGGCGACATGTGACACTTACGACGCGTTGCTCAGACATTGCATCATCTGCTTAGCCAAGTGGTTCGTATCGATGTGTCGCTGCAAGTTCTGAAATACACATGGATAACAGTTTGATACAAGTGGTGGATTATCCTATTTGTTATACCGACCTATAGTGAACGAAATTCAGCGCATTATTCAGCAAATCTCTGCGGAAAATCAAGAGCGACTCAACGAATCACAAAGGTAAGTTACAAAAGTGAGAGAAAGTTTGGCCACGTGGATAAATTTTACGCATGCCGATGATGCCTCATTCGTGTAAGGTCTGTGCATTTGTTTCGATTGCACAATCTTGCATCAAGCATGGAAAATGCAATTGAAACGTGTAATCTAATTTTTTTTATTGTTTAACGTTTATATCTTTAACTTAAAGTATATAAATAGGTTATTGCGTACAATCTAAAGGAGAGGTTAGGGTGCCGAATTGCGATCTTGGAAGCGTCGTTCGCAGATCGTTTATTTTGACGTTCAACATGCTAAATTTGTTACATGACGAGCAGGAGGAATCACATTCGTATCACAGCTCAGTGTTACGACGGGATTAAATTTGCCATCATGATTGCTGAAAACATTGACCCTGAAAAGCGCACAGTAATTGATATACGTTGTCTCTCTCGCACTCCGCCGCGCCGTTCGCTCATTCATTCTACCAGCAAGGCAAATATAAATCGACGATGACAGGCAACTTTATGTTCGCATTATCGCGCGCTGCGTAAATAGATTAACGGCGGAAAAAGTTGCGGATTTATAATACTTTTTCTCGCGCCGTGCGCAAAGGCGCGGAAGAGAAAATTATGACAGCGTCCATTTAAATTCCTCGACGATTATATCACGTGCATGAATCGAAACTGGTAGAATTCCGGTAAGTTCGCACGTTATAGCACATAGCATTGCGGAAGTTAGCTCTCTACGTTTCCTTATTTCAATAGATAGAATTGCAAGATTCACCTTGCACTTGATGCGAAAAATCAAGTTTATGAAAACTTTAACGCAATCGTTTCTTTTTTTTTTGCAATGTCGGCTCAATGTTTTTCGTTTGTATACACGTAATTGAGCGTGTGTGTGTAGCGCGCTGACGGTCGACCGATGATGTCAGATTTATATAAGAGTTTAATGTTATCAATTCGCGGAAACAGACAGGCACGATTGTAACGTGAACAATACGAGCGAGATTACTGCGAGACAGATGTTTTATTTTCAGCAAACGCTCTAAAGAAAGCATTTAATTATATTACACAAAATATATTTTTGTCAAAGATATAATGCAATCTTCTGCAAAATATTATGACATTACTGCAGCGTTATAAATATTTCACATATCTCGTGTTTTTTGTGTTATAAGTAAAATGATGGATATTGTAATTGCAACAATGTCAATCAGACAGCATTGATCGCAATTAAATTTTCCATACAATTTAGCAATACATGCAGTATTATTTATGTATATCAAGATATACATATATAATTAAAGCTGTCGTCGCAACTGACCCTGAAAATTATACATTCAACGAGACCGGCGTGACTGTGCCGATTTTTATGAACGCGGTTCTCCGCTAAATTCGGAGTCACGTTTTGCGAGATGCGCGTTACAACGAAACTCTCGTTCGCGGTTTTCGAATCGAGGTTGCACACTGACGCGAAGATGTCAGGGCCGGTTTCTTAACAACGGCTTCAAGGCCTTATTGGGTAAATACACACTATTGGCGTTATGCGACGACGCGCTGGCACGAAGCTAATGTAACGGCCTATGTCGATATGCGTGTGCCGGACATTGGAACACCGATATCAATATTTGTCAGACATCTGCTTCTGGAATCTCGATTAATAAATCGTGGTTGAGCAATCGTGATTCGCCGTCGAATCTCTTGGTCGCACAACAGAGTGTAGACAAAATTCTGCGTATCGCATAATTAGATTACAACGAAACGGAAAAATGCGGCTTTAACGTTTACATCATTACTCAACTCATTTATTATTTATTTTTCACATTCTGGATTCCCGAGATACGCTTTACATTTACGAAAGAAATATTGGACACTTTCGTCAATTTAATTTTTAAGATTTTATCTCGAAATTGTTAGAAAATTCACGAATCTTATTTTATCTTTTCACACTGATTTAGATGGCGCCAAGAAATAAAGAGAACAGCGGAGCCAAACGTAAGAAGCATGTAGAAGATGAGGGCGACGAGGATTATCGAAAGCGCCGGGATCGGAATAATCAGGCAAGATATCAATTTCGTATTTACGCATGATGTGTACGATTATTCGAATTTATGAACTGTCATCGATTGTTGTTTTTACGTTTCACAGGCTGTGAAGCGTTCCAGGGTGAAGAGTAAAATACGCACTCAACAAACCTTGGACCGGGTAAATCAGCTGAAAACGGAGAACGAATTGTTGGAGGAGAAGATTAAAATGCTTAACAAGGAGCTAGGGTTTCTCAAGGATCTCTTTCTTGCACATGCAGGTATAACTGTGAATTTAGCAAACTGTTCAGACATGTTCCTGCGACGCTTCATATTAATTAATTTGCTATCATGTATGTTAATAGATTATTATTTCTATTGTTACTTTCATCTCCAATATATTTTTTTAGAAGTTTTATTAAAAAAATTTAAAATATTTGAATTGACTGATTTTCTTTCTTAGGTTCCAGTCAACACTCTATAAACATTCAAGATCTAGATCTAAACGCCATTCTAGCGGATGACAAATCCTCGGAAGATCAACTGAAGACGACCACCAAGCTGTAGACCAATGCAAGCGCCACGTGAAAGAATCGACGTGGTATTGAGTCTGAAACGCGAAGAAGTGCTCTGGCGCATTTAATCGAAACGACGGGCATCTGGGAAAGATGTCTCTGAAATTCATTGGAATAGACTTTAGACGTTGCAAAGGCGTTTCCTAAACGCAGGTCCTTTGAGTTGCAACATTATCAGAGAATTATTACCAGCTAAATTTACAGTTTATCGCGAACTAGCAAGAACGCCGGAGATATGGCGCGGTCACCTAAACTTACGATAAATCGGAGATGCAAAAGAGTTCACCGTGGTCGTCAACTCGTGGAACTAAGGCGATTGATCTAATAAACAGTGCAGCAATTAAGTACTGCGCGAGTATGTACATATTGTACATACTAGATTGTTGTGTGTACATATTGTACGTACTAGATTGTGTGACACAAGTCACAATCTTGTTTGTAATATTCATCTTGAAAGGTCACTCATTATTTCAAAGAGAATCTTTGAAAGTAACTGAAAAATATTTAACACCTATACTTACTGAATACATTAAGGTAAAATTTCGTTTTTTTATTATATAATTTATAAATTTTTATAGAGATTATTTATTGGGAAACTAATTTTTCAAAAAAAAAGTATAAGCATGCTTGTGCATAATTTAAGAATATGCTCAGCAATTTTTAATATTTTTATTTCAATATTTATTAGATATATTAATCTTTGTGACACAAGACACGCCAAAACTTTCACTTCTGTAAATATATATTTCTGTAAGATATTGCTCGATTATAACGTCAGTTTCTTTTGAAGCCAACAATTTATGCGTGAATGTTCAAATACATCTTTCATCTATCATGAAAATATTTATGGAAATGGAGGTATTTGTGTGTGTTTAACTACTGACGTGCAATATAATTCACCAATACGTGCAATATAATGCACCAAACATATGAATATTTTGGTAAATAAAATGACTATAAAACCTATTATTACGCCAATTAAAATAGCGCGAGAGAATTTATAGAGGACGATATGTATCTAATTTTGTTATGCAATCATATCTGATGCATTATATCTGCGCAAATTAAATCGAAAGGCAGGGAGTTTGCAGTCAATTCAAAATTTGCCTCAACGCTATTCAAATTTTGTAATTACCATGAAATAATTATGTATTCTTTTTGCAACATCTTAAACGCGCATGTTTTTATTTTGTGTACCGAAATTTCGACGAAGTAAATGTTTGCAGGCGACAATTTCAAATTGTCGGTAGATAGTGGACATCTGAAAAATCATCGACGGCACCTGTATGCTTCAATGCTTACGGCCGAAAAGACCCGATCGATCCTCCGCCGGTGTTCGTGAAGCGCATGAACGTCGCACCGACCGGACGAACCCCGTGGCGCGGCTGTGAAGTACCCTTACGTTCCCAGAACCTTCTCCAGAATACGAATCATCCTCTTCCACGGTGCATTTTCCTTCTACATCAACACAGGAAAGAGTTCGTATCCTTACACATCCTTGTATTATTCATATCCCATGTCACGTCAACTTTTCATAATAATCCTATTTGTTAATATCATCTTTTTTAACCAACAATATATAATGTGATTTTAGAACATATAAAACATAATTGGGAATATATAGGAGCAAACTTTACACAAAGCACAGGATGCCGTCTAAACATAACAATAGCGATATCGTTATAATTGGAAATATAAAAGTCAACTCATCGACGATGATGCGAATATTTAGACGAGACTCCCCCGAGTCGCGATACGATCCTGGACACTCCGTAGCGCGGTAGGTCGCTGCGCTGTTGGTGGTCTAGCAGACGACATGTTGGCTACAGGGAGCACCTCGTCTCGGACGTTTCGGCCGCGAGTTTCCTCGGGGATACCTGAGTGAGGAGAGGCGAGCGCGAACTCGGTGAGAGGAAAAGCGCGCGAGTGACGGGGGAGAGAGAGAGAGAGATAGATATATTAGGCGAGGGCACGAAATCTCTCCCGCGAGAAAGTGTGCATGTGCAAAGGGCGGCGCGAGAGAAGGCACGCGAGGGTGCGGGTTCCCCGAGTGCTGCTGCTTTCCGTGCCGTGATTGTCGTCGAGAGGCTCGCGGCGGCGGCGGCAGCGTAGTCAAAGGAGGGGGGAACGAGGTAGGAAAGGAAAGCGCGCGGTGAAGGCGGCGGAAAAGAGACGTGGGCCCCGAAAAAGCGGAGTCGACAGCAGGCTCCGAGAGCGAGAGCGGGAGACGACAAGTCCTGGAAAAACATTTTCTTTCCGCAGACGAGGTCCGCACGAGAAGAAGTCGCGTTACGTCGTTACGAGGACTGCGGAGAGAGACGCGGACGGCGACGTCGTAGCTGAAACAACAGAAGGAGTAACACGTCTTCGGCGGGGGTGCGCCGCCGACTCGCATCCCCCTCGATTAACAATCTCGCTCGCGGAGAGCGTTACGCTGGACAGCGAGCAGCGGAACCAATCTATTTTAACGCCTCGTCGTATCGTCGGCGAATTGGGGAAATCTGCGCGATCGGGGAAGCGAGACGAGAGGCACGGCGAGGCGAGGTCGTCGTGTGTTTTACGTGCAACACGCGCCGTGTCCCTCCATCTACCCACGGAATCGAATTCGCGTGTACATATCTGTCTCGCTCGTTCAATATCTCTTCTCCCTCTCTCGCTCTCCTCCTGTCTCCCTGTCTCTCGCGCTCGCCGGCCGCATCGCCGGAGACGTCGCGGCAAGATAGAGAGAGAGAGAGAGAGAGCGTGCAAGACGTGCCGCCTCGCGCGCGACGACCAGCAGCGACGACAGAGAGGCAGCGCACGTCGGCGCCGACGTATTGTCGTCACCGGCAGTCTCCGCGTACGCTTTTTCCCAACGTACGTCTGTGCGTGAGTGTGTGCCGCCGCGCGTACGACTCGGACGTCGCGACAACAGCCTCCTCGCGCGCGCGACACCGGCGCGGATGACCATCGCGCGTACGGAACACAGATTCGCCGTGCCGCCTCGTAACTTCGCCGTTTCGTCGCCGTCGTCGCCGTTGTCGCTGCGCTACGTCCGCCTGCCTATCGTCGCGGTAATTCGTCGCCGAGTGGCAAGTGTCACGCGCGTTCGCCACCACCGTGTCCTGGGCATAGCCCCGGGGGACCACCGGGGGACGTCGTCGGGGGGCCCGGTCGCCATCGACGTCTCGGACGGAGACGCCGCGCGCGCGCGCGTCTGTCTGTCATCCTCGTCATCATCGGCATCGTCATCGTCTCACCGTCGCCGTCATCGGCACCCCGCGCCGCGACGGATTTGCAACACCGTCCGCGCTCTCTCTCTCCGTCGTGAGCGAGCGAGAAGGATAGAGGTATAGACACACACATACACACACACACACACGCACACACACACACAAAATACATAACACGCACACATACACTCGTACGTATACACGCGCAGAGAGAGGGAGAGGGAGAGAGCGCAACACGGGGCTCTCTCAGTTGCCCGGCGAGCGGAGCACCGAGCCTATGGTGTGTGGTGGTTATGGTTTCGCGGGTAGTGCATAGCCGCCAGTGATCGAGGCAGGCGTGAAGTGTGCTCGTGAGTGTCGCGCCGGGAGATACACGCCGTTATACGCAACGTCGGGTGTTGTACGCGCGAGAGACAGGCAGGCGAACGAGGAGCGATCGTCGACGTTATCGCTGCCGTTGCCACTGTACGGCCGTGTCGCACAGTTGTCACCGTGTCGTCGGCCGTCGAGGGGGAATTAAGCGGAACGAGGAAGCGGGACGTGAAAACGCAAGGAGAAGCGGAAAGGAGAGCGGAGCAGCCCGTTGACAGAGAGGAGCGAGAGGCATCGCCGGCCGCTACAGCAGAGAAAGATAGAAGGAGACGTCAATCGTGCGAGGAGGCAAGCGGGGGCGCAGCGCTCGCGCGCGTGCGAACGGGACACCCGATACAGAGCGAGCGAGCGAGCCGCACCGCACCGTCGAGCGTGAGCGAGCCGAGACGAACGGAACGGCGGAACCGGCGGACGACGACGGACGGCGGGACCCGCGGAACGGGAGTGAACGTAGCGCGCGTACCCGCGGCGACGGCGGCGGCTGCTGCGGCGACGGGGGTGTAAACAACGTCGACGACGACGACGACACGGCCGCCGGCGCCGGTCGCACGGTCGCCCCCGCGGCTGCCAGCAACTCGATCGCGAGCCGTCGTCGTCCGTCCCGTGCCGGGTCGTCCCGGTCGCCCTCCCTCGCGCCCGACGACGCCGCCACCGCCACCAACACGACCCGGGAAGGTGACGCAGACGACCGGCCCGGACCGCTGGACGTGGAGGGGAACAAAAACGGTGAGGGCGAGCCGCGCGTATCATTCCCGTGGTGTGTCATGGGGTGTTTCGGCAGCCAGAGCAGGAAGGATACCAGCCAGGATGACAGCAAGAACCAGAAGAGGCGGTCCGACGCCATCACCAGGCAGCTGCAGAAGGACAAACAGATCTACCGGGCCACTCACAGGCTACTCCTGCTCGGTGAGTCGCGATTGCCAATCGTTTCCCGAGCTTCCAACTCGCGCGGAAGTGATCGAGCGAATTGGGAAGTGCCTGCCGTCGGTCTCGTAACGCGTCTCACCTGAAAAGCCACGCTCCGAATGAAACCTCCACGTTCCACGACGTTTCACGTTTCAACGAATGTATTCTCGAGCACGTACATCTGGCATTGCGACTTCGTTCAACCGTAGTTTCAGCTTTGAGTCTCCATTTCAATTAAATCGCAATTGCGCTGTCGAAAATGATATTTTCAGAGTATGCATTCCCGATTATTCGTGTCTTTGCGACAATCGCACGATTCAAATTTCCACGGAAAGTGATGAGCAATTGAACTGAATAATTACAGGATATAATTTTGCTTCAAGTATTTTTAGTACGATTTACTTTCGTTTCTGTACATCATGTATGATATATCCGGGACTCGAAGGGTGAAGGAAACTGAGCGTACGTTTAGATACGGAAATAAGCGTGATCAATATCTCAGCTAGGCGCTTTTTGTCCAACGACACTTTTTATCTCGCAACATACGGTGTGTCGTTAGTTTTTTTTTTTTTTTTTATATTAAATTAGAATGGAATATATATAGGCGGTTGGAACGTGTTCTCGCTCAGAACCCATGCATTTCGGGGATGATTCCCGGACGTTCTCCGTTCTTCGTGCGGCGGGCACATCCGTGAACCGAGGCGCGTTAAAACACAGGAGGTTAAAACACGGTCTGAACGGCCGGTGATCGCCGGTTTCGGACAAAGAGAACCTCCCCGGAGCCGAGGGCAGGCCGCTATCGCGATGTTCAGCGGCGCGTAATTCAATTTTATCGATTATCGTACGAGCAGAGAGAGGCACCCACGAATATCCATAGCGGCCGTGTTTGCACCCTTTTCGCCGCTCCCGATCCCTGTCTCTTTCACTGTATCTTTCCCACATCGTCCTCTTGTCTCGCACGAGACTGTGACATAAAATTCCGTGTTTTCGCGCTTAAATTGTTGCTTACTTCATCATCGAAGGGCTATTCCCCTTCAAACAGTGATATATTTCTTAGCAAAATAATTCTCTTACCTTTCCCCCCTTTTTATCTATTGATTGCTAGAGGCTTATCAGCCGGTTTATATAAAAATTATATAAATATCTTCTCGCTATATTTGATTAACAAGTTTGTTATCAATGAAATGGCGTTGATGTTAAAGCAAATGCTTGTCACGCAAATTTCTTCCTTCATACATTTATTTTAATATTTCATTCCGTCTCTAAATTTCTCATTTATTCTAAATATTTTTCACCAACTAATAAACTGACAATTCTCTCTTTTTATTTTCCGCTTCTCCGGTGTTTTATATTGATTTATATTAGTCGATGATAATAGCCTTTTACACGTCCATATTATAATTCTTTTTATACGTAATGTTAACTAATATTGAATACATAAATCATATTGAATTGATATTGATTACACGTATTGAGTTGAACTGATATTGAGTTCACATATCACATTGAATTGGTATCGAGTATATTGTATATCATATATTGTGTACATATTTTATATCAACTTTTCGCGTTTCCGAGATTGCTTTTTATTCTTCAAGGGAAAATTATCCTTCTCAGAACCTTCTGAGTCTCTTCTCTCTCCCCGTTTCATCTGCATATCCCTTTTTCAATACCGATATACGCGTGCGCACATTGATACGACGTGCCTACTTAACGTGATGCTTAACCCGGCGCCCCGTCGCATCGCCTTCCCATTATCCGGCGTTTAATGTAGGTCGTCGTTCTAATTTGATGCGAATACGTCGTCGCGGCCGCCGCCGCTCGCCGTCCTCGTCCTCGCGGCCGACGAAGCAACAGCTGTCGTCGTATTGTTTTCCTCCTCTCGCGTGTCATTACAGCCGCGCAAAACACGCGGCCGTTTAGCTTCCATAAGTGTTGTCGCACATGAGATCATGATAATTTGTTAAGAAAAACCTTCCGCCAGAACAGATCGTCGAGCGGCGACGGAAATTTCACAAGTACGCTCTTCACTTTCTTTGCAAAAAAATGTACAAATCTGTGCACGACGGTTTCACGCATTGTGTTTATCTCATTAGAATGCACACAAATGCGCAATTAACGCGGTTATCTAAGCGAGGTTAATGAATAAATAAATTCGATAGCAACATTTTGCTCCATTTATATAAGATTTGTACGATGTTTCTTGCGACTGTTACTTATCGGATATAAGTAAGCAGCGAAGCGGTTAATGCCGAAAATTGGAGGACTTTTTCGGATTAAACTTTAAAACTTATCTTCCGCTTGATTTGCGATGGATGTTCTTAACGCGAATCTGAAAGTTAAGTGACGAGAGTGTTGAACGTTGCGAAGTAACACAGGAGTGTTGAATATGTTAAAATAAAGTGTGAGCAGAAGCGCGATAAATGTTTTACCGGGAATACAGAATAATGTCGCGATAATGCTTCCGAATTACAGAGAGTTAAAGAAGTTTCGAATTTCGCTCGCGCGGCTAATCTTGGAGAAAGACGAGACGAACAAGGTCGGTTTACTGATCCCGATGTCATGATCTTGCACGTCGTCCTCGGCGCGATCCCCGATCCCGCCTCAGCGCGAAACTTTAATCGCGAGCGGATTTACGCGCCGCGACGCGAGAACCGCCGGCGTACCCACGCTTCATCCGCGTCGCGGATTCGCAAGGCTGACGCGATGTTGCGCATCCCGCGTTATCTCGCGGACGATCGATAGCCATATATTCCCCTCGGTTGGCGGAATCCCTCGATTTCGGGCCGTTTGACGATCGCGCGCTGCGAGGCACTCGCGTATTCTTCGCGCGCGCATTATCGCGATGATAAGTCGCGCAAATCCCGCGCGGATCAAATCGGGGGGAGGGGCGGGAGTGAATCCCCGCCGAACGGCAGCGACGCGGGATTAACACTCGGCGATTTTTATTTCAGGTGCGGGAGAGTCCGGCAAGAGCACGATCGTCAAACAGATGAGGATACTGCACGTCAATGGTTTCAGCGAAGCGTAAGTTTTATTTTAAAAGCGGCGAACGCGTGCGCGCCGATCGGTCGGTCGGTCGTGTCGGTTGATTGCTTGTTTGCTTGCTTGCCTGCTTGCCCGTCTGCTTGCTTGGGCCTTCCCTCCCCACCCGTGCGTGTACCAATATGCCTGTGTGTCGTTAAACCCATTAAAAGACCGTAATCGCGCTTTTGTTTCCTCCAGGGTTTTTCATCCGCGAGACTCGCATTACAATTAAACGTCGGCGGAATGCAATCGTACTCGCGCAGAAGCGTTTACGAAACGCGAAACGGCCGCGCCTACGCGGGACAATCATTGAAAAATATATGTATATATATTTTTTTTGCGAATATCTTTTTGCATTGTAATTCAACTCCCTCCGGCGACTGGTGGGACATATGTGTCTCGTTCATTTTTCCGCGCCCGCAGTTTTTTTTTTTTACTTGTGATTTTATCGCGGCCAAAGTTCGATAAAATAAATGCGGCTCACATAGTAATTCTCGAAAATAAAAAAAGAATGAAACGATAAAAATACCGATTCGGCATACATTCCAGATTTGAAGCGAGCGGAAAATATGCAATTCGGTCATGAACGCGTTAACGCATATCTCGGGGGACGAGCGGTCTTTGAGCGGTCGAATCGCGAAGTGCATTTCTGAAAGTCTTTTTCCCCCGCGATTCGAATCGAAGCTCGATAAAAAAATTTGCGGAGAGACGAATCGCAAAACGTTCCGTAATTAGCGCGATTAGTTTTTCAGCGCGAATGATTCATCTCGCAAATTGGTGTTTAGGTCGCTGTATCAACATTAGCAACACGTCGATGGGAAAAAAAATTTGCTATTTTTCTTGGATATTTTTTCAACGCAATGCATCCACCGCGTTATTTATTATTTATTCGCGTTTTCTCTCTCTCTCTCTTTTTTTTTTAATATCCGCTGATACGATACCTTTGAAATGCATCCTTCAGATCACCTTCGCCATTTTAACGAATCTCCAACAATACTCTTGTCTCGTTAACGAAGCGCTTTAAATCTTTTTTTTAACAAGCAGCGTTCTGTTTTTTCCTCGATACGATTATTTCTTGTTCTTCAAACCGTATTTATTCCGTTTTTCTTGATTGCTACTTTGCAACGTCTCATTTGTTATTACTGTCGGATATTTTGTTTCATTTAACTACCTCGAGTCTGTTAATTTGTAGGAGAACGTAGATTCCTCTTCTTCAAAGAGTCTCGTTTATCAAAATTCAACAATTTATACATCCTTGCACTGTTATCGACAGTCTTTCCAGTTTTTCATGCTCCGAATAAAATACATACAAACAATATTCCATTGACATGAAATTGTTTACTCCGCGAGTTCTTCGTATTCGTCTTACGGCGAAAATATCATTTATTCATATTTCTCGAAGAAAGGCGTTTTTATTAACGGCGTCTACTGTACGGGCGGAGAATCGGGAGCAACAGGATAGTGCGAAAACAATATGTAAACAATATGTAAACAAATGGCTCGCATGCGTCGCAAATTGGCGCCCGCTTTAATGCTGATGAGCGGAACGCTGGTCTCTTATTTCTACACTTCGCGATGATCTCTTTTTCCGATCGGCATACATATTTGATGCGGCTTTTTTTATTTCGCTCGTTGGCGAGAGCAATTTAACTCTTAATTTCTCGGATGCCGAATCCCTCTTGACATTTATACGTCGAATAAAAAAGGTTTATCTCGCGCCGGCGAAATCTGTGAAAACAGAGTGATCCAGAAATACGAGTTATTGATCGGCCGTGAGTTTCCTAGTTGTTCTTCTAAACGCGCGGTGGTCGGCCGCGCGCTAAAATTATCGAATTATTCTGAAAATACCGATAAAAAGAACACATGCCTGCCGTCGTTTCATCCAGCACGTGACTCGATCATTACTGCCGGTCGACTGCTCGATCTGCGCTACGTCTGTGCAATTTATTGTCGGCTGCAACATATTGTTAATCACATTTAATTACGCGGTTGACAATGAATTGGCGCCGAATTCTTAACGATGCTAATACTAATGTCTTCATGTTCGCAGGGAAAAGCGGCAAAAAATCGAGGACATTAAGAAGAACATTAGGGACGCTATTCTGGTGAGTTTTACACACAAAAAAATTGAAAGAGAAACAAAAAGCAGCTTGAAGAGTAAGCTTAGAAAATTAAAATTTACTAGGTCAGTTCTTTATTTCGCTTCATGGCGAGAGTCGATCGTCAAATACTCGTCAACAATTTGCATTACAAATTCCATGTTTGTCCCCGAACCCAGTTACATTAGACATATAAATTGTCGCGCTCGAAATAACTCGACATAAACGTTACGTGACACGCAAATTTGCGATATCAAATCTAGCTGGAAGAGCATTGTCACCGATTTGTCATTCGAGTCCGTATTTAGCTACGTGCGCATTTATGCGTAATCCCTATGCGAAATATAGTCACTTCCGTACACCGCGTTAACGCCACACGCTATAATTTTTTTTTCGCATACGGAATTCTCGCTCAAGTAATTATCAACGTGATATGACAAATGAGTAGCCGTGACAAATTGTGATCTTGGCGAGAGCAGATTGCCAAAGAATATACATTTTGTGATGTCCGAAAAAATTATATGAAAAAAGTGCAATTAATTGTTTTAATCTGTCATCTCGTTTCTCATTTAGATCGCAACATTAATTAATAATTATCTCGTCACACGATGAGTCGCTCTTAATACCGCGTAATTATAATTAAATATGTGAATTAAAATCTTGAAAATCGATAAGAGAAAACAATACGTGGTGGATAAAAGATGGTACAAATATTTTATTTCCACGAAAAATTAGTAATTATATACGTACAAAAATTCTGTGTATTCTAATCAAATTTTTTTATATATATTATAATAATACATTTGTAAATTTATCTATGGCAAAAAAAAAGAAGGAAATTTCCTTGTTAAAGGAAAGAACCAGTGTCTTATATCATACGCGATCAATAACAGGGATATGTCACTTCTTTTGCAGACGATAACCAGCGCGATGAGCACGTTAACGCCGCCGGTTACGCTGGAGGACCCGTCAAATCAGAGCAAAGTGGAGTATGTCCTGGAAGTCTCGTCTTCCCCAGACTTCGATTATCCTCCGGTGAGTCAGTGTTCGTCTTATTTGCGTTGCGCTCACGACGCGCGGTATTTTCTCGCGCACGTAAATGAAACGGGCTTCACCTTCGCGATAACTCATCGACCTTCCCGCGTGCCTGCGCGAGAGCTCTACCATAAGAAGGAGAATTCTCGAGCCGATCTCTCGTACTCTCCGACGGGCGAGGTTACGTCACGTCAATTTGTTTCTGAATACAGCTAAATTTGTGCGCGCAACGCACACGTAACGCAGAATCCGCATAAATGCAATATACGTATCGCAAAACTTACATTATCGCATTGAACTGAAGACAATAATAATCTGAAATCAATAAAAATACGCTTGCGGGGGATCGATAATTTTTTACAACGCGCGTGTATTAACGCACATTGTAAAATGATATATTATTTTAATAATTTTTCCACCCCGTAATATGGATCGCTTTATCGCACGTTACACATTACGTCGCGTCCCAGAATATACTTCAACTAGCTCCTCGCGATTACTCGATGTCGCTCGCACACACGCACACACACACGTACACACACACATATGCAGGCGGAGTGTAAAAGGGACGCGTACGGAGAGCGTCTGCAATGTCTGTCGACGACGGCGAAATTTGCTTAACGATCATCGCGACGGCATTTCTTCGCGTCTCGTTAAACCGGGCGGGCGGACGCATATCTGCGGATTAACGTAATGCGGCGCACACGCGGACGATATGTACGTACGTACGCCGCGTGAGAACCACTGCGATGGCATGATCAGTGTTTACAATGTTTACACAGTCACCGCACATATTGGTGCGCTATATAAGTGTCCTGTACTACGACGTGCTGCGCCATTTCTCACCGTATGCATGTGCGTACCTGCGTGTGTGTACACCAACACGGTGTGCCTCTCGATTGTGTCGCTCGCAAATTCGTGCGATCATTATACTCGTACGTAACGCGAATTTACATTAATCATCGTGAGTCCTCCCTCTCCTCGAAGGATTTCACTATTGGGATTAATTTGAGAGTGATCCTGCGCTTTAATCAAAATCGTGGCCCATGTATAAACTAGCGACCTTAATTGTAATAATAGGTTCTCCGCCTAATTTGAAATCGATTTTTCCTCAGCGAAAATGTTGAGAGCAATCATTATTTATTGCCAATTGTCGATCTTTATACGAATTATATATCTTTCCAATTAAGTTGCAAATTAAAGTTTATTTAATTCATTAAAGAACGAAGGTCTGTTGCTCTCGTGAAGTTTAGTTTGCAAAAAACCTTTCTTTTTCAATCGCTTATAAACTTAATGTTTTTGCTAACGAAAAATTTAAGTTTATCAGAATCCATCATCTCAAAATTAAGGTCATGAGTTGCAGACACTTTATCGATTAATATCTCAGAAATAAAAATTTCACCGAATATCGTAACTGTTCAATTAGCGCAATAAATGTAATTAATAGATCGCAATCAAGATAATACGTAATTATGCCGAAGCGTTCGAAAACAACTTGCGACATTGTTCATGCTGCTTTAAGATTTCTGATTGAGAAGAGAATATTATCCTCTTCAGGATTTAAAAAGAATAGCGTGCTGCGAGAAAGCGCGATTCGAGATGCGACACGTGGCTCTCGAAATAAAATTGTCGCGACGAAATAATCCACGCGTTTTGCGTCATTCAACGCACGAATCGCAACGTACGCACACGTGCGTATTGTTCGTTGGCATCTTTACCAGCGAATACGAATGGCCCATTATTTGTTGCACGTTACGCATTCATTGTCGTTGATTGTACGCCCGGATTAATTGAATTAAATCGTTTCGCATTGAACGTCAAAGCGTTAAATTACGTATCGCGATTCTATGATTATCCGCGAAGTAACTTCTAGTCCCTACAATTGTTTTGTATTATGACATCAGAAGCAGGAAATCGTGCCAAATTTTTTTTCTTGCGTTTTACATCGAAATAAATTGATTTCTCGCATGTTATTGCTCGCGCACAATAATGCAGATTGGAAAAAATATATTGAAAACTTTTTTATCACAGATTTAATTTATTTATCAATGTTGTTTATTTGATTAAAAGATAGTAGCGCATCTTGATCAATTGTCATATGATTTATTTTTGTTGACAACGACATGTAGACTGAATTACACATTTATTAATTCAGGATGATAAAAACCAGAAGCTTTCGATATATTTTAAATGTCTATGCGATCGAAGAAATCAACTTAAATGTAATTCCGCGAGAAAAAAATTTGCATGATTTCTCGCTTCTGTCATCACAATTCAATTCACTTGCGAGGAAACAAAGCTCTTAAGCGAATTATTGAAACGATGTTTCAGCATTTTTTTCGACGCTTTTAAACGCGAACGGTATTGCGAAGGTAAAGCGAGTTTTGCATTAAACTAAATAATTTTGGACAAGTAAGTTTGCACTTGTTGCAAATGTTACACTTGGCGAATGATCGCCAGGCGCTATTTTCGCGATTGGGAGACAAAGCGATATATCCAGGAGTCGCGAAATCCGCCGACACCTCGTACGATTCGCGTTTAATTTGTCACTGTCATCCGGATCTCCGCATACGTAAGAGGAAGGGAGACGAGGACTTGCCGTGGATGCGGAAGTTTATTTCGGGAAAATCCTGGACCTAATTTCGGCGCGAAACGCACCGGCAGCGATGCGGTTTCTTTTACTCGTATACGATAGATACCAATCGGCCTATATTGGCTCGCGGACAATCGATGATGCGAAAACAATTACGTAATTGAGAGGATGCCAATACGCGAAACGATCCACTTCGATGATTTTACAAAAGGGGGCAAAAGCGAACGAGTAAATCGGTATAACAATATATTAATCAGTTCAGAGGGTCGTAAAATGGGATGGAAAAAAAAAAATACTCGCGAGTGCGATAAAATGAATACTAATATTGTAACAAATGTTGAAATATTATAGCGACTCCGCGTTCCCTCGTACATATATTTACGCGATTTTGCATCCGAGCTCGGGAGAGCAGCAGCCTCTCCCCGCAAACGCCCACGAATTTACGTCTCTGTACGTGTGTCCTTATATTTTTAGCCAAGTCGCACACTCTGCGGCGACATTTAGGGTTTTTACGCGAGAGTGATGTGACGCGTTTGGTCGAAATTATTAGTACGTGCATAATCGCGGTAAATAGCCGGCGCGGCGATCCTCCGCGCGCGTAGACGACGGATCGCCGATGCGTCCGTAAGTCCATCCATCCATCCATCCATCGATCGCGTTGGGAGCGTTGGAAATAGCATCGACAGGAGAATTTATTAATATAGCCGTCGTCGTTATTGCCAAGCACCGGCCGAGAGCGGTCGGCGGCCGCCCACGCGATTTGCGGCTCGCGCCGCGCGGGACAACTTTCGGGATGGACTTCCGCTGTCGGTGGGACGTCGCCGTCCCAAAGTTCGCCGCGGACACTTAAAGCGATGAAAGGGCACAGGCGGGTTACAGCACTTGCCAATTACGCCGGTTCGTTGCGGCTTTTGGGACAAGTCTACGGGAAAATTGCCCCTCGCGCTCGGGGTGCACAAAGTATCGGTCGTCGATTCGTAAACATTCGCAAAAGTTCCGATCGACGGTAAGAAAAACACAGTAGCGAGGGTGAAATTTAAACGCGGTCGAATGTTTGCGAATGCCAATTGAAAAACTTGGCCTTTAGATCACTGAAAAGTTGCAATTTTGAACGATAATCAATTATCAAATGTTATTCGATGATGTTTTGCGCGAAATAATTGTTTAGACATGAGTCATACACCGCCATTCGAGATACGGTTCTTCGGTGTGCTGTTAACAATTATCTGAATTAGCGATTAATTTTTCTCGAGGAAATTCCAGCGGAAAGGAATTTCAGATACGCCGAGAGATAATGCAATTATGTATACATAAGTTGAACTTTTGCTTCGTAATTTGCGTACGCTTGTATATTCCGCGTGTATATATATATATACACACATATATTATTATATTATTATTACATACATACATATATTCCACTAGGAATATCATTGCACGATAGAACGCGACCCGGTTGTGAGGCTGAAATAATTAATAATACTTTACGCTATTTCGACATTGATTTATGCATGCGGAACGGGCGCGCTTGCAGCGTGATTACTCGGCTAGTTTTGATTCGCGCTGTTTGCAAGAACGCGTCTATTGATCACGATAAATATTTAATTCTGAAATACCGTTGCTATTAATACAGTGTTTACAGGCAATTTACCGTGGCAGCTAATTCCGGCATTAATGCACACTTTTCACGCATTTCTCTCGTTAGGAAATCACACTGAATTCAATCGTTTTGAACGCCGCGCGGACTTTCAGCGGAACGGTGATTAATATTTGTCGATTTCAGTCATGAGAGATGTGTCTTTCGCGGTAATTTCCATCGGGACGCAAATTCCGCCCTGTCATACCGCCGTGATTTTCGATACTATCAGCAAGCGGGAAGTCGCGGCCGAAGCGTCAACCTCAGTAACAGAGCCGCCTACGCATGTCAGGAAATCAAGTTCCCCGCCACAATAACATCTAAATTATTAATCCGGCCGACATCCTTCGCCGGTAACGCGACGTGTGCACCGCCTTGCGACCGCTATTTACGTAACGTGCAGCAAATCGCGATTTTAACTCACTTCCTAAGCGCATTTTCGCAAAGTCTTTCGCGTCGCATCGCGATAAAACGCACGTAAATTATGGATATCGCGCTGCGAGAGAAAGAGGGAGCTCCCAGCGTCCGTTAACTTTGAGGGGCGTTAAATTTTAATTCGTTCCCAAGTGCATCACAAGTGCCACAAAGTCTTCGCATACACCTACGCGATGCATCGCGGTGTTGCACTCGGATTATGAATATCGCACTTTGACAGAGGAAGAGCGAGTTCCGCTGATTTTGCGGAGCATTAAATTCTTTCGGAGAATAATCAGTCGATTAAATCGTGAAATGAAAAGGACTTCTTCGCGATTTAAACGGTATTTGTCGCGCATTCTTCGCGTGTTGTATCTAGTGTGCGTGCTCAGCGTGTTTCATTCTTCGACGAGTTTCGCGGACGGCATCGTTTTTTTAACAGCGAACTAAACGACGAATTAAACGTCAAGCGTTACAACGTCCGGCGATCCGGTGTGCAATAAAGACGGCGGTAAATGTACTATAAATATACGCGAATAGGTCGTATCGCGAGCTCCCTGCCGTTCGATTCGCCGGCCGAGTCTTTACATTGTACGAGGAATCGTGCGTGCGCGGTTGCTCACCCGTTGCATACCTACGCGGAAATTCCGAAACTTTAGATTTACGATGGATCTTCACCTTCGACTATTTCAACCCGTAGCACTAGAAACATCTGTAATAATTTATTACACGCTGCTCTCCTCTCGTCGGAAACGATCGTGTGTCTAGAATGAGTAAGATGCAAAAAATGCAGAAAACGTTTCCTGCAATTCATAACAAAGTTTTAATTTATTGCAAAATTAAAATATCACGAAGCTGTTTTGTTTATATTTTTAGCAAAAATTTATCTCACGTTCAAAGCTTGGTCGAAAAATTTTTCAACAACACTTAGTTGAGTTTAATTATCGGCGATCATAAATTTGTTGTATAATTGAAATATTACAAAAGTAGTTTGTTTCTAAATGTGCAGCGTTGTTTATATTTTTAGCGAAAATTTATTTCAATAAAAGAGATTAAAGCCTGATCGAAAAATTCGCAAGAGAACTTGAGGTTAATTATCGAAAAAATTTATTTCGCGTGTAATTCGATGAAAAATGATTAAAGTCAGATCGAAAAGTTCTCAAGAACATTCAGTTCAGTTTAATTATCGACGATCATAAATTTATTGAAAAATTAAAATATAAAACTAATTTGTTTTTTATAATATGCGGCGTTGTTTGTATCTTTGGCGGAAATTTATTTCGCGTTCGATGAAAAAGATTAAAGCTTGATCGAGAAATTCGCGAAAGCACTTAATTGAGTCTAATTATTAAGGATTATTCTGTTTCCAGGAATTCTACGAAATCGTCGAAACCTTGTGGAAAGACCGGGGCGTTCAACAGAGCTTCGAGAGGAGTAATGAGTACCAGCTCATTGACTGCGCCAAATAGTAAGTCGCTTTATTCTGGTCTTTATATTGGTTTGTAAGAGTTTGGCGATGCGTCATCCTCGTCGAAGTCGAGCCGTGAGGAATTTAAAATAGCACAACCGACATTGCCCTCAATGGACCGTGTTGACGCTGCGTATAACGCTGTGTGTCAAACAAACATATCTACATAAACGCATCGAACATTTTTTCAACGTTTTAATACGTCGCGTCTCTTCTCGCGAGATGCATTGAATTCCGCGCATTTGTTTCGTTGTTGATTCGACCGCTCTGGATCTTTCTGTACGTGGAGAGTATACGAGGCGCACACAGTTATTGCAATAATTCGTCCGGGGGTGATATCGCGATCACGATAAGAAATCCGTAAGATAACGCGTCGATAACGCCGCCGCGCACCGCGAATCCGTCGATGTGTTGTGTGCTCGCTGTGTCTTTTTTTAGAATCAATCTCATTTAACGAACGTGACTTCATCCTTTATTTCACTATTGATGAATAATGCACTTTATCATTTTGAAATAGAAGTTTCCGACAGAAATTTTCCCGAACTCATTATAATTGTCAGTCATCAGTTTTCAAACTTTTTATTCTATTTTTAGCGTGATATTTCTCGATTGTGTAAAAATGAAAACGAGATTTTATTAGAATATTTAAAAGTTGGTTAGGTTCTCAAGGGAGAAACGAGTTTTAATTTAATTGCATTTGTTTCCAAAAAAAAAAAATGCATTATTCGCCGCCGTATTGAACTTTATCGCCGGATATTAGGACATTTCCGAAAAACTTTTCCCGCGTGCCGAGCACATATGTACAATATATGTGTGCGAGTGTGCGCGACATGCACGTGTATATTCATGGGCTTGTGACACCGATTTAATGCCAATGGAGACAATGCCTTAACGAGGTAATCACTTTAATAGGGGCCACTCGTTTTATCTGGCGGTATCCTGACGAACTGGCCCAACCTCGAGCTTTTTTGTACGCTAATTCGATGATACGGGCGTTGATTTAGTTACATAAAGCGCGCCCGTGGCGTAATTCTATGAGATTACGGTAGCGAGCGGTGTCTCTCTGGCGGCTCGTGGAACTTGAACGGCCGATCGAATGCAACAACCGAGTATTTTTAAACGCGACGGTTATTGCACCAGATCACGTTTCGGTGCCTATAAGGCAAAAAAAAGAAAAAAAGGCGTGAATCTCGGGCGTAAACGGCGAGACCTTATCCGCCAACAGTCGCCATGTGACACGCGTTTTCACACCCATCGCCTCGTCAAACACTTCAATTTGACAGTGTCACATTTGGAAATGGCCTTCTGGCGGAATAGTAGCGCCATTCTGTAGGCGCATTCGTGTGTACCGATTTATCGGCATGATTCTAATGGATCGAAGCTTTATTTAAGGATTAAGTCATCAAGGTTGCGAGCCAAAATCGACGAGCGGTGACGGGAAAACGCTGTGCGACCACTGTAGTTTTTAATAATACATTACGAAAATACGTAAATATATGGCGAGAGGGAGTGCATGTATTTCCGTCGAGCGAAATTTTCTACTTGAACTTTGGTATATGACTAAATTCGTCTCGTGTTCACGAGAAACTCAACGAGGTCCTCTCTCTTTTTTTTCCCCTCGTTCTCTCTCTCTTCTCTCCTCTCTCTCTCATCAATGTTTCGTGTCCGTTCGTAATTGCATTATCGCGGATTTATTGCGCTCTCTTCTCTCTTTTTTTTCTTCTCTCTCTCTCTCCCCACCAACGGTAGCGCGCGGCGGTTTCCGTCCTCCCTTTTTCTCTCTTTCTCTCTCGTGTGTGCAGCGGGAATCGTTGCTGTTAAAAATAGCGCGTCGTATTTTTAGGCAGCGCTCCGGCGGTGAGAGATATAGCACTCTCCGGCATATTCGTAGACGGGGGAGATGGCTATAATCTTGCGGTCGCATTTCTGCGACTGCGCCCAATCCCTCTTCCTCTGTCTCTCTCTCTTTCTCTCTCTCTCGCGAAAATATATTCGCGAATGTAGTATATCACGCATGAGGGAGCGCGAATACGCGAATTTCGTTACACGTATCCCGAAATCTGCAGCTTTGCGAGTCCGCAAATTATTTCAGCTGCAACAGAAGCGTTGCGCGAACTTGCCGTGATTTTTTAGAGAAAACTCGACAAACAATATTTTATCGCTCCCGATGCTGTCTCGGCATTGAGAAAAATCGTCAGGTGTCACTTGCCGGGCGGAATTCTTGTAAACACGCGTGTGACACAAAGTACGGGGGCTCCTCCTCGCGCGCGCTGAATACGGCGCAACGATATGTACGCAAAAATATCTCGAATCTGAGTCAGTGTGTAGAGAATAAATATTTGTCGGGAGCGCGCGATTTGTGCTGCGGATAACAACGTGCGCGATTATCGATTGTGTTGGTTCAGCGGCAGTCATTTCCGGGTTGGACGATCTTTTTAACATGCGCAGAAAAGAAAATAACATGAGCGAGCCGGGCCGGGACGCGAGGGGAGATAGCGCGAGAGTTATCGAGGCACGAGCTGGGTGAACCAGATTGGCTACGGCAATTTTGGAACACGGTAATATCAATATATCGAGTAAAGAGCGATATCCAGATATGGTCAGCGCAGGTCCAAATATGGCACATTTAGTTCACTCTCCCTTTTGTACGTTGCCAAGACTCCACGCCGCGCAAAACACTTCTGCTAATTTTTCTTCTCTCAACGTGTCGACGCGAAATATGGATCCGCTTTTTAACACGCCGCGTAATTATCGTTGTCGTAATTGGCGGCGAATGAAGGGAAAAACGCAACGTGACGCGATTTGTCGTACCACACATCGCGCCGTCGTGTGCACGCCGTATTTAACCGCGTCGTCGGATCGCCGTCTTGTTTGTAGCAATGTTGCGACGTTTCAATTACGCGATAACACACCTCGACGCGTCTTAAAAAAGGAAACACGCGCCGCTATATTTAGACACTCGCGTCTATATCGCGTGGATCATTGATGCTGCTATATGCACAGCCCGTGAATGTTTGGATAGACAGTCGTCTCTCGCGCGTCTCTCTTCTCGTTGTCAATTGTGCCCGCAGTTTTATTCTTTTTTTTTTTCATTTCGTTTTAATCGTTAAAATAAATACTTTGAAATCGATGGAATTGTCCAGCGATGGAAGCGTTTATTTTGCAATTGGCTGAATGTTGTTGAAAATTTTGATTACGCTTTTATTATGTATTTGAGAGAGGGAAAGATAAAATGATAAAACGTTCTGCATTTAGAAATGTTAATAAACATTTCAGTCACTCATGTAACCCTCTTCAGTGTATATAAACTGTATATAAATCTGTCCGATTTTAAAATTTGCTGTCGTACATTTTCGAAATAATAAACAGTTAAAAATCTAAAAATCTAATCTTAATCACGTTTTTTTTATTTAGACTGCCAGAGTCTATTATTTCAAAAATATACAACGGCAAATTTAAAAATTAGACAGATTAAGATTTATATAAACGTGACATAAGTGACGAAAATGTTTGTCGACGTTTATAAACTGGAATTGGCCTAAATTTATAAATTCTTATATAATTGAATTCTGTAATTTATTACCCCGCGATATTTCTTAAAATTTTCTATATAGCAATCTCTGCTGTTAACAATTATCAATCCTAACAAAATTATACTTTTTCGGTTTTGTTTTTAGATAGATCTCACATCTAGTTTAATTAATTTTTTATAATTCGTTATAGTAATTGTGTTTATAAAGCAATTACAGGGACCTGAGATTTTATATAGAACGAAGGATTTAATAACAAACACGGGAACTTCTCTATCGTTAATTTCCTTTCCGGCGACATGTGTCCTTTCCGCGGTGACCTATCGAATTGGATCGCCGCGGAGCGGAAGTCGGCCAGCTCGTAATACGCGAAAGAGAGGGAGAGAAAACGGAGAATTAGCGTTTTAAGCGATACAAGTGACGAAGGTCAACATTATCGCGCACTCGGCTCGGGAGAGAGAAATTCGTTTCGCGCCGGCCGAAGTACGGAAGACAAAGAGGATGTTTGATATTTGCCATCGAGAGAGAACCGCCGCATACGTCGGCGATGTTAGGTGGTGCACGATTGGGGACCGCCAGGTTCGTCAAATATTTGCGATCCGAGCGAGCGAGCGAGCGAACGCTCGCGCGGACGATCGAAGCTCCAATTTGTAGCGGAAGCAGACAGAAGAGATCGGCAAACGAGCGTTTCTCGCGATCGGATCGAGCCGCGGCTGGCTCTAAAAATCGCCTAAAAATCCGACGAGCACGATTCGCGCGGGGCTCAATTACTCAAATGTGTTTATTCCTTCGAAATCCCTCGGAGGTGCCTCGAAATGTCGAAGGTGCGAGCTTTTCAAAGTTTTCTCCGGGTGCAAGTCGGTTCCCTCCGTTGCACGCCGGCGTGCACATTTCTCGCTGCAGTTTGAGAAATTTTCAGCTCAATTCAAGTTTCCGTTGCGACTCGGAAATCTCGTTGCAACATTATCGATTCGACGAGCGCCGTGCGCCTTACATCGTGTACGTGAACAGTGCGATGCATTCGTGCCGCGCGCGCGGAATTTGATGCATAAGCCGCATACTGATTGCACGTCGGGCTCTACATCTACCTGTCGATGTAGTTCCAGTAGTTAAACCGTTACCCGTTTCCCGACCACCCGCTCGGAAGTGCATACGGGGTGTCCCGGGCATGCATATACATATTTGGACGATCAGGTAGTCCAGCACTCGCGCTGGAAATTGCCAACCGAATTGGCCGCAAGAGTTCTGGAATTCTAATAATTTAATTACTCGCGCTGCTTGCACAATTGAGCGAAGAAGTTGGATACGTTGTGATACGTAAAAGCGCCATGTTTGCCGAGTATGAATATAAATGAATAATAAAATGAAATTCACATCCGATATTATGAAAATTTTGCGCGCGAATAAACGAATGGGCTATTAACGTCGCGTGGAAACGCGCGGAGAGTTAACATCATTCGGAGGCTATTC